TTTTGTTTTGGCCTTTGTTTTGTTCTCGGTAATCTAATCTCGGTAGGTAAATAGGGCCTACTTTATCAGCATGTATGCGGTAATTTGAGAATAATTAGATTCGGTTATAAGCGGTAGATTAAAGGCGAATCGGGTGTATCAGCATGTATGCGGTAATTTGAGAATAATTAGATTCGGTTATAAGCGGTAGATTAAAGGCGAATCGGGTGCAAGCACGAGATTAGACTATTACACTAGCTACATCATATCAGCTCAATAAATTAATCCGCTTGGCAGAAGCACTATGTTTTACAAATCAAGTAATGAAAATTAAGGTACGCATGAGTCATTACATGAAATAATAGAGGTGAACTCAAGAAAAAACGGATCGAGAAATAACCCTAGGAAAGCGAATTGAGCAGAAGGAAAGGAATTTCTTGTTCGAAAGCAGAAATCAAGGAATGAAATTTTTTTGTGGAAAAATAGAACATGAAAAAGTTTTGCAAATGCAGAATGAAGAGAATAGTTTAGATGAGAGAGTTGGTGAAAACTTTGTTTATGGTGACGATTCTACAAGATGGATATTCTTTGGCTCTCTATCAAACAAAGACACGTGTGCTCGTTAATAGAGTGACCGGAGGTTAGATATTTTTAGAACTTCCGCTCTACCAACAGAGACGCGCGTGCTGTGAATGAGACCGGTGGAAAACAATGGATGTCGTTAATAGAGTGACCGGAAGTTAAATATTCAGAGAACTTCCGCTGATAATAACCAAAACGCGGCGATTTCAATCAGACTAAAGCAGTTAATTGGAATGAGTCATTGATTTCAATTGAAAGAAAAGAAAGGCTGTTTCTCAGGAGAAGCTCGAGGGAGACTGAGGTAACAAGCTTCTTTGTTCACATGATTTACTCCTTCCACGCAAATGATAGTCCGTGCTATCTGTTGTCATGTCATAAAAGTCACGAGTCTACTGCTATTGAAACTGTTACGGAACATAAACAAGGAAGAATGTTTGAACAAAATCAAACGCCGATGCCATTTCCATTAGAAACCCAGTGTTTGCAAAGACCCCTTGACTTACTCTCCCGTAAAATTTTATATGGAAAAAAGCATAAATAATACAGAGCCAGGTGTTCTTTTCTTGACTTAGCAGAGAGGATGAACGAGCAAAGAACTACTCTACAGAAAAAAACTACGCGCAGGTAGGCCAATCAGAGCCTCCCAACTGAAGCTCTACCGCAATTACATTTCTTGAAAAAAAAAAAAAAAAAAAACAGTAAGATTTTGAACTGGTTTTTATTTCTTCTTCTTTGTTTTCTTATAAATGAAAAGAAAGGACGATGCCTTTTCTGAGGTTTACAAAAACTTAGATTTCTCACAGCTTTAAGGCATAATTTGCATATAAAGCCGTAACTCTTGGGACTCTTCGATAGAGCAATTTCATCAAAATAAAGCTTACATAAAAGACAATAAATTCCTTCGCGTATTTCCAAAATACCATTTGAAAAATTAAATTTATCCTATTATGAAATAATCACAACTTGCTTTGCACTGTATAACTACATCATTATCCAAAACAGTTCTTTAGCAATGGCTATCGAACATTGCAAAAGTCGACTAATAACTAAAACAAAAATTGGTAAAACATGAGAAAGTACTACATAATATAAGAAAAAGTGATACATTTCTCTCTCCTGTGTTCTCGCGTTGCTGCTCCTGACTTGAAAAAAGGTTCTCACAAGTTCAGATTGACGTCGTCTCCAATCAGAACAAATGGTGCCCATTCCCTCACAGTGTACCTCGCCGTCTTAGATTCTCTCATCCACTTCACGGTCTGGTGAAGAGCTTCACTGGCACTCATTTTATCACACTTCAGATGTCCGTAGAAACGAACCATGAAATCCTTTGTGGCTTTGTCATCCACGGCCCACAGGGAAACCAGCACTGAACGAGCTCCGGATGCAATGAAGGCTCGAGCGATCCCCACAACTCCCTCTGCTTGCAAGATCTTTCCTTTAGCACTGTGACAACAGCTGAGTACAACTAGCTTGGCCCGGATCCGAACATTGGCGATGTCTTTCATGGTTAGCATGTAATCCTCTTTACTTGGCTCTTGAGAAGAGGATCGGTTGGGTGCACAAGCGATCTCTCCTCTTTCAGCATCACCATGGGCAGCAATGTGTATCAGACACACATCAGTTATTCGTCGCAGCACCTCTTCCTTCGTGGCTTGCTCACCCAACAAAGGCTCCACCTCAAGAAGATCAGCGATTTCTTTTGCCTCCTGCCTTGCTGCTTTCAATTGCCATAATGGTGTGGCATGACTTACTTGTGGATCACCAACGATCAGCGCTCCAGTCTGGCAGTGATAATTCTTTGGGGAGTCGAGGATGAGCTTGAGTGTTGACAACGAAGGACTCATTCTAATGCTACACGAGTCAGACAGGTACTTTCCAGAATTGTCCCGTAATGCGGCAAAGGGAACCATGACCATAGATCCCTCAGGAGCAAGTACAAGCTCTCGGCCTTGAATACGATTAGCAAATGGAGCGATGAGTGTGTTGTAGAGTTGATTTGGTAAGTTTTGAGCTTCAAGTTCCTCGTCGTCTGAGTCATCAAAGAGACGTTTCTCTCTGACTTTGATATGCTGGGTACCATTAGCAGCAGACTGATTTTCGTACAAGGCTGACAAAGAACGGTCTTCACAGTTGATGCTTCGACCACAAGAAAGTGACCTGGAAAAAGCTTTGAGGAGACAATCGACTTCAGCTTTTTCTTGAGACATCGCCTCCAAATTTGGGCCCTGTTCATTGGTCATTATCCACAAGATTTTCTTATAGGAACCAGAGCCAAAAAATAGTAAGATTTGCCTCTTTGCCAAACTACTCATTAGGCTATGGAGGTCAGTTTCACTAAACTTGACCTTTTCTTGAATGCCATATTTCTTTGCCAATAGTTTTGTCAATACATGGGCACGACCTCGCTCTGCTGTACACAAAGCCTCCGCGAACTTTCCAAGAGCAAACAGCAGAAAGAAACGACTATTGTACATCAGGATGTTGGCTTCTAATTCCCCAACAGAAAGTTTGGACTCGTTAGACAGAGGTTCAAGACTGTTTTCATAACCTTCGATACTCTCAGCCAGGATGTCGCATGCTTGTTCAAAGTACCCGCATCCACTTATATATGCACCAAGGTTCCTAAGGGATGTATGCTTCTTTTCGTGCCAACTTCCCGTTAATATTTTCGTTAAATACTCTTTAGCCTTCTCCAGCTCACCACAGAGTAGGTGTAGACGACACAGTTGGATGTATATTTGGTCCTTGCAGTGTAAGGTGTGGTATCCTGACTTGTCTTCTCCACAGATGTCAAGACCTTTGTGTAAACACTTCAGGGCTTCGTCAAATTGTTGAAGTTCGATAAGAACAGTACCGAGTCTCATAAAGACTGACCGTCCTGAGTAAGGCAGTTTTGCACTGAATTGTATCACTTTCTCGTAACATTACTTTTCTTCTTTTTCTTCTTTCTTCTTTTCAGCCCTTTAAAAGTCTCCTAGAGCTAGGAACACTCCGGCTTTTTTTTCATCATTTCAATTTCTTCGCTAATTTCAAGAGCTTCCTCCAGTTTCCTTAACGCTTTTTTTTTTCTTGCCTGGTAAAAGCACCTCACGTGCCAGGGCAATTAGGCATTCAACCTCTCTTTCCTTGCAATTACCTTTGCGACTCGTTTGAATTGATTTCTCTAGACACTCTGCTGCCTCATCCATTTGACCAACCTCAATATGTCTCATAGCAAGCAGATAATAGGCGGTTGCTTCTGTCTCTGTATCACCGGATTTCCTAGTAACTTGTAGCATTTCGTTGAGACATTCAGTATTTTGGTCATGTTGGTTAAGGCCGAAAGCCAAAAATACACAAAGCATTTGTTTACATGACTCCTCGGTCTTTTTACAGCCAGTTTTTCTGCTTTTAGCGAGAGCAAGTTCAGCATGAATCTTTGACTCGTTGTACTTACCCAAATGTAAGTTGATGACAGCGATGGAAAGAAATGCAGATATTGTCCTGTAATTTAATGCCCTCCGTGTTCCAAGATTCATTGAGGCTTTTGATGAGTTAAATTCTTGTTCGATGAGTTCTAACAGCGTCACAAACTCTTTGTAGAATTTTAAAGCTGCAGGTCGACGTTTGGTGTTTTTTTAAGAAACGTGCCACTGACGTTGTAATCTCCAGAGCTTCCGTATCAGCTACGTATACTTTTTTCATGATTGACGCCGGGCTATAAGTGAATTAAATAATGCGTTCCTAAGAAACCTTATGATAGCCTATATGTATATATAAACTTTTGTTTATTAAGATCAGCTCTTGATGCTTGTCTACATCGTTGAAGATCTAGTTTGCTAAATTCTTGATATATATATGTATACGCCCGGTCAGATAGCTAAGAACATGTCACCAACAGAAGTCACAGAAATAAGAAGGAATATCACTAAAAATTAGCGCCATCACAAGATTTATCAAGGTAAACAGGCATTTCATGACAGCGCCCTTCTTGGTTTTATATCAACACTGAAATTACTCGCTAAAAAGAACTTTGGTTGCAATAAGACATTGACTGAGTTGAATACTTTGGAAAACGAAGTAATTTTCGAAACCGACAGCAGCTGTCGACATGACGTTTATTTTGATTTATACCTTAAGGTTTTCTTTCTATTCAAACAGAATCCATTTGAAAACAAAGCGTATAATCTCGTCGGTAATCTTTAGTTTTCTCCTTTTTTTCTTTTGACAAAAGACTGTGTGTATGGTCTGAAAAACGAGCTATATGGCAGTCTTGCCCAAAGCTCTGACGATGAAATTTTATCCCTTCCGCCTTAGTTCGCTTTCTCAAGAGCATGCAGGAAGTACTCTTGATTTTAACCTTGAAAGATTGACCTTTCAAGCAAAAACCGTCACTCACAAACCTCCAAAGTGAAGCAACTTTAGAATCTTCCTTTGCTTTTTATATCCTTTCCATTAATTGCTCTATCACCCTGCAAATTAACCAAGTAAAAACAGAACATTCGTCTGGAAGGCGTTGTCGATCTCTGCCATCCTAAATGTTGATATTTGACTATTACCAGTCTTGTACCCAAGCCTTTCACGGCCAAGTGGTTGTAAGCCCACCGTCATACGACCTTACACGGTAGGATCTGGGTTACGGGATTAGACTGTTGCACTAGCTACATACTTAAGAAATGAAATTTTCTGGTAGAAAAATAGAACATGAAAAAGTCGTTAATATAGCAAATGCAGAATGAAGAGAATAGTTTAGAAGAGAGAGGAGGTGAGATCTTTGTTCCTTGGTGACGGTTCTGCAAGATGGATATCAATTAGCTCTCTATCAAACGAAGACAAGCGTACTGTAAATGAGACCAGTGGAAAACGGTGGATGTCGTTAATAGAGTGACCGGAAGGGAGATGTTTACAGAACTTCCGCTGATGATGACTAAAACGCGGCGCTTTCAATCAGACTAAAGCAATTAATTGGAATGAGTCATTGATTTCAATCGAAAAAAGAAAGCTGTTTGTAAGAAAAGCTCGAGGGAGACAGTGGTAACGCACTTCTTTCTTTGTTCACATGATAGTCCGTGCTGTCTGTTGTCATGTCATAAAGGTCACGTGTCTCTTTAAGTTGAAACTGTTGCGGAACATAATCAAGGAATGATGTTTGAACAAAATCAAATGCCAATGCCAATTCCATGCGAAACCCAGCGTTGGCATAGACCCTTGTCTTACTCTTCCGTAAAATTTTATATGGAAAAAAGCATAGATAATGCAGAGCCAGGTGTTTATTTCTTGACTTAGCACAGTGGATAAACGAGCAAAGAAGAACTCTTTGCAGAAAAAAGCTACGCGCAGTTAAACAAATCAGAGCCTCCCAACAGAAGCTCTAGTGTAATTACATTTCAAAAAAAGAAACGGTCAGTAAGATTTCGAAGTGGTTTTTTCTTCTTCGTTTTCTTATAAATGAAAGAAAGGACGCTGTGTTTTCTGAGGTTTATAAAACCTTAATTTATCACTGCATAAAGGCCTAATTTGCACATAAAGTTGTAACTCTATACGATAGAGCGATTTCATTAAAATATTGTTAGCACGAAAGATAATCAATTCCTTCGCGCATTTCCAAAATACCATTCTAAAGGTTAAGTTTAATCCTATTTTGAAATAATCTCGACTTGCTTTGTTCTGTATAACGCGACATTATCCACAACAGTTCTTTAGCGATGGCTATTGAACATTGTAGAGTCGACTGATAACTAAAACAAGAGTTGTTGAATCATTACAACGTACTACGTAATACAAGAAAAAGTGATACATTTCTCTTTTCTGCATTTGTTCTCGTCTTGCTGCTCCTCACTTGAAAAAGAGGTTCTTACACATCCAGATTGACGTCGTCTCCAATCAGAACAAATGGTGCCCATTCCCTCACAGTGTACCTCGCCGTCTTAGATTCTCTCATCCACTTCATGGTCTGGTGAAGAGCTTCACTGGCACTCATTTTATCATACTTCAGATGTCCGTAGAAACGAATCATGAACTCCTTTGTGGCTTTGTCATCTACGGCCCACAAGGAAACCAGCACTGAACGAGCTCCGGAGGCAATAAAAGCTCGAGCGATCCCCATAACTCCCTCGGCTTGCATGATCTTTCCTTTAGCACTGTGACAACAGCTGAGTACAACCAGCTTGGCCCGGATTCGGACACTGGCAATATCTCCCATGGTCAGCATGTAATCCTCCTTCGCTGGGATTTGAGGGGAGGATGGGTTGGGTGCACAAGCGATCTCTCCTCTTTCTGCATCACCATGGGCGGCGATGTGTATCAGACACACAACAGGTATTCGTCGCAGCACCTCTTCCTTCGTGGCTTGCTCACCCAACAAAGGCTCCACCTCCAGAAGATTAGCGATTTCTCTAGCCTCCTGCCTTGCTGCTTTCAATTGCCATAATGGTGTGACATGGCTGACTTGTGGATCACCAACGATCAGTGCTCCAGTCTGGCTATGATAATTCTCTGGGGAGTCAAGAATCAGCTTGAGGGTTGACAGCGAAGGAATGATGCGAACTCTGCACGAATCAGACAGGTACTTTCCAGAATCGTCCTGTAATGCGGCAAAGGGTACCATGGCCATAGATCCCTCGGGAACTAGAACAACCTCCCGGTTTTGAATACGATCAGCAATTGGAGCGATAAGTGTGTAGTAGAGTTGATTTGGTAAGTTTTGAGCTTCAAGCTCCTCATCGTCTGAGTCTTCAAAGAGACGTTTCTCCCTGATTCTGTCGTGCTGGGTACCGTCGGCAGCAGACTGAATGTCATACAAGGCTAACAACGAACGGTCTTCACTGTTAATGCTTCGACCATAAGAAAGGGACTCGAAATAAGCTTTCCATGGGGTATCTTGATTGGCACTTTTTGGATTCCGCATCTCCAGTGAGGCGTCATTTTTCATTATCCAGAACGTAATCCTTTTACCTCTTGGAGTAGCGATGAATACCACAATTTGATTCTGATTCAGACTCTTTAGAAGGATGCTGAGGTCATTTTCACTGAGCTCTGCCTTTTCTCGAATAGCATATTTCTCTGCTAACATTTCTGCGAGTAGACGGGCACGGGCTCTCTCTGCTGTGCACAAAGCCTGGACGGGTTTACCCAGAGCCACCAGCAAAAGGCAATAATGCCTGTACAATTCAAGGTGTTCTACCATGTCCCCGGAAGAAAGTTTGAACTCATCATTGAAAAGGTCACGTTCGCTTTCATAGCATTTGATACTTTCAGAAATGATGTCACATGCCTGTTCCAATTTTCCGTTTACACTGAAAAAGGCACCTAGCTGAAAGAGGCTTACGGACCGATCCAAGTTATTTTTGGGCCGATTTTCCGTTAATATTTGCTTTACACATTCGTCAGCTTTATCGTGTTGACCAAGGAGTAGGTGTATCTTACAGAGTGTAATGTAGATGTCGCCTTTAGAGAGTGTGGTCTGCTCTGTTAATTTGCTTTCTTCACATAGTTCGAGGGCTTTCTCTATGCTCTTCATGGATTCTTCATATTGTTGAAGTTCCATAAGAAGCTCAGCGATATGATAATAGGCCATAGCTCCTAAGTTTGAGACATGAAACTCTTCACTGACTCGAATCATTCTCTGGTAATATTCCTTTGCTTTATCGTATTCACCAATATCCTTGTAAGCATGCCCTAAAGCCATTAGTGCTATGGATTTAATGAATCCCCCTGCATTCTCTTCGCTAACTTGAAGGGCTTTCTGCAGTCTCTCGAAAGCCTCCTTTGCCTGGCCTGGTGAAAGCAAATTATTTGCTAGTAGGTTTAAACAATCAACTAGACTCTCTTGATGTTCCTCGGTTTGACGTATCTGCATTGATTTCTCTACAAACTCTACTGCCTGTTCTTTTTGACCGACGAAGGAATAGCATGCTCCTAGCTGGAAATAGACTTCTGCTTCTTTCTCGGTATCGCCAGTTTCCTTGGTAATTGCAAGCATTTTCATGAGACATTCAATCTTTTGGTCATATCTTTCAAGACGAATAAAACATTTCCAAAATATTCCATAGCACGCTCGGGCTATATATTTGCTGGTATTTTCTTGATTTAAGATAATTGCAAGAGCAAGTTCAGCATTTTTTTTTTGATTCTATGTAGTTACCCAAGCATAATTTGCTCTCAGCGAGGGCAAGATATACTAGCATTGTGAACTCGTCTATTCCTTTCCGTGGTTCTTTCTTTCTTGGGCCAAGCAAAGTTTTTTTTATCTCCTCGGGTATTGCATCTGATAATATATTGAAGGATTTTTGGACTGATTTTAACAGAGTCAGCAAATGATCGTAGAATTCTGAGGCTACTTGGCCGCGATGGCTGTTCTCGAAGTAACACATCACTCTTCTATCTGCAGCTTTGCAGACATCTACGTTTTCCTTTTTTAACGCTGGGCTCTGCGGAATGAAGATAATGTTGCTGTGATAAGACACCTCGGCTACAGGTTAAAAAGTTGACCAATGTTAAGTCGAAAGTTAGAAATATTTGGAAATTGCAGTAAGTAAAGACATAGTTCAATTAGCTTAGTAACAGCATAGGGAAAAACAGGAACAAAATCAAGAATACTTTTCAATATATTGCGCATTCTATTAATCCAAAAATGTAACTTTTTCAAATGATGCTGAGGCGCCAGGCCTCTTATTCAGAGACTTCTTGTGTTTTTTTTTTTTTTTCAGGGATTTTTTAAGTTTTTCAATCCGACCAACTGATCCAATATCAGAAAACGCATTGGAAGCCAAAGGGAAAAAAGGGGATAGCCTTACCTGATCCAATTCCTTCCGTGGCTCATTTTTTTGGTGTAAGGATTCTTCGATGAACTCCAACAGTGTCGTCGACTCTTGGTAGAACTTTCGTGCCGCGTGATGATGGTGAGTGTTTACAAGGTAAAGTCCCACCGAGACACTTACGTCCACAGCTTTCAAAACATCTCTCAAGAAATATTCTTTCTCCATGATAAATACTGTGACCCGAGCTCTGAGTAAGTAAAACAAGGCCGTATTTTAAAAGACGCTACACCATCGTCCAGACACAGATATGCCTGACTTGTTCTTATTCGTCTCACTAATTTTTATCTTCAAGAAGAGTACGACATTTTTTAATTTCGAAGACATGTTTCGATGTTCGTAACATCGAAACATGTCTTCGAAATTAAAAAAATGTCGTACTCTTCTTGAAGATAACGATTTGCTTTCTGCTGTCTCGATCTCTCTAATTTCTAAAATCAACATGCGAAGCGTGGAGGAAGATGGGCAAGAGAAAAATCTTCTTCCTTCCCATCTTCCCCTTCGCCGCGGTAGTGCGGGTCTCTCGCGACCCCGAAGACGTAATCGGGTAATGTCACTCCCGACTCCCTTGGGAGTCCGAGGCTTTGCCGGTCACATGACTTTTGGCTGGAATCGCCATGTGCTCGGGTTTGCGGATGTTTGTTTAGTTTTTTTTATCCATTGAAGAGAGTTTTAAAGAGGGCGTTATTGTGTCTTTCGTTGGCTTAAGCGAATGGTTCGGTGAGTTAATATTTGTTTTTTTGTCGTTCAGGCAGGTATTTGGAGTTTGGTGCCTTCATTGTTTGTTATTTTCAGAAAACCTTACTTACTTACTTTCACTGCATTGACCGAGGCCGTGCGGCCAATGTATGAGCTCGAGTTTTCGACGTTCGTTTGAGATAAATAAACACAGTACTACGGTACGAACAGGTAAAGATACCATGTGTGAACTCAATATATTTATTTAACACAAAAGTAGCTTTTGTGCTAGGGCATTATGGTGAGGGAAAATAAGAAAAGTTTTACACCAAACTTCGTTTTCAAAGGGACGGGTTTTCGAAGTTGGGAACACCTTTCAGATGTAGTCGGAGATAACAAGATGAAGACTTGAAAACATTTCCACCAAACAATCAAAGCACAGGAAGTTGAGTTTGACTGCATTTCAATTCGAATAAAAATGTACAATTGCAGCACATTTGATGAGCAAGTTGATTTACCTTTGAAACGTGCGATTCGTATATAGCCTTATTCACGGCACTAAAACCGCAAACAATACTTACTAAGGGCTTTGCGTTGGTAGAGAGGGTACTTCATGTTTCGCACGAAATATTTGCTTTCCGAACGTGCCTCGAACGGAAGGGTTTTGCTAGTCGACCATTGCCGCAAACGGGGTTTCGGCAACCTCGTATAAGACTCTCATGTATCAAAGATCAGTCATCAAAAATCTAGTCACGCTGCGATTGCACGCTTAACTTAAGAAGACAAAGCAGTAAATATTCTTCTCATCTGCTCCTGTACTCAGGTGAAAACTTTTATGATAATCTAGAAATTTCAGCGATATGTAAATTAAAAGCATAAAAAAACGATCAACAAGAAGGAAAAACAAATACAAATGAAAATTCCTACGAGATTCAGGAAGATAATCAGGTATTTTGATATGGTCTCTCCTGAATAGATTTTATATCTACGTAGAAAGTACATCGTGATAAGAGCAAACGAAATCTTGGAAGCAGCACTGAAATCTTGCCCGAAGCTCACAGAAAGCACTTCTGCTTTCACTAAGTAAGCTTGATTTTACCCTGAATCTTACCATTAAAAGCAAAATAGTGACGTACAAACCTTTAGATTGAAGCAAATTTAGAATCTTTCCTTGCCGCCTTTCTCGTACTTGGCTCGTTCACCCAGCGAGAAAAAAAGCGTAAATCGTAACACTTGTGTCGAAAGTGTTGACGATATGTAGATGCGTGATCGCATGACGTTCACATCATGTACTCACGTGCTCAATCAGCTGTGTAAAAAATATGCTCCGTCAACGAAATAGTAAAGAAAAGCCGAAGGCGATTGAATAAATTCTGGAAGAAAATCTGGGAAAAGGCATCGAGAAAATACCCTCGAAAAGCGAATTGAGCGTAAGGAAGGAATGTTCCTGTTATAAAGCGGAAATAAACGAAATGAAATTTGCAATGTAGTAAAATACAACGATAAGTATAGGACTATTGCGGCAAGAAATTACAAATGGGAATGGCAAAGGATAGAGGAGAATTATGCGGATCGCAAATGAAATCTAAAGAAAATCAGGATACATTTTCTAAGATAAAAACATCAACAAAGACTTCCAGTTTAAACTCATATAAAACTATCACAAGTCGCTAAAATTCAGAAAAACATCAATGATTGAACTGAAATAGCAACGCTTTATTCGTATGTACTTATAAACATTCATTCATCCAAAAATTGATAGAGAAAAATCAGTTACAGCACAACTGCGATACAAAAATAGTTTAATTCATTTTAAATTATAACTTAGAGTTAATTAGCTGCATTTTATATTTATTCAAAACCTGCTCCAATTTTGTTCCATTAATTTAGCGTGCACAAAGCCATCTTTACCGCACTTATCTTTGTTCTCTTTTTCTTTTCTTCTTTCTTTCTTTTTTTTTATCTCTTCCATTTACATTCGTGATCTTTAATTCCTCTCCTCTCCGTGCGAGTCAGATCTTGTGGCTTCACACGGCACCGTTCTCACTTTTCTCCTGATGTTTGTGCTGAGCCAGTGCTGCTAGTCTCTTGTCTCGTAAATTCCTTCTCTCATTCAGTTGATCTAAAGGAATGCTTTCATTGAACGCCTTTTCAATCTTGTCCAAAGTAGCACCAGCTAATTTCCGCGGTCCTCCTTCTTCTTCGCACACACGCACAATGTTTTCTCCGTACCTCTCACAGTAATCTCTGATTCCTAATGAATAAACATAAGATCACATATGATGAAAAATGACACGATATGTCCAACAAGTCACGATTGGTTTTTCTATTTTCTCTGACTGGCTGAGAAAGTTGCGCGACTTTCCTTCACAACCAGTAGACAGTAATGAAGAAATGCTAAGGACGTATTTCTTTCGACACACAATTTAAATTTACCACCCATATGACCCGAACAATCCCGCGGGCTTTTGGAAAAGATTATGAGAAAAATATCCTTATGAAGCCCGTATGCGGGAACACCATATAGGCCGGAAAAAGCCGTGCGGCCTTTTGAGATGCGAGCTGAAAGGATAAAGGAAGAAAGAGAGAAAGTGGCGGTCACGAGAAAATATTTGGCTCTCGTTCATGAGGTACGGACGAAGCGCATGGCCTCGAGCCAAATATTTTCCCTTCCGGCCTTCCCACTCAGGCAATAGGTACATATGTGCGCACGTACGTGCCTAGGTATGTTCGTGCGTATTTGCGTGGGTGCGTATGTGGGGAATTTGGTGGCCTAGAAAAATCAGCAACAAGGAGCTTTGGAGACAAACAGGGCGGCGTCCGATAAAGCAAGAGATAAGACAAAGAGCCTGGGGCTGGATCGCCCACACATTGAGGAAACCAGATGGACATGTAGTCAAGAGGGCACTGGAGTGGAACCCACAGGGGAAACGAAAAAGAGGGAGACCCCAGCACACCTGGCGACGTACAAGAATTGCAGAGTTAGAGAGGAAATATCTCACGTGGAATGAGGCAAAGGGTACTGCACAAAGTAGGGTTAGGTGGCGCGTTCTAGTTGAGAACCTATGTTCCACTAGGAACGAAGAGGAATAAAGAAGAAGTAGGTGCGTACGTACGTACGTGCGTGCGTACTTATGGGTGTGTGTACGTGTGCGTTCGTGCTCTTCGCGTACCTCTGCCCGATTCCGCGCACCTCCGCCCGATTTTGATCAATCTACGTAAGGACCGATCGGCTTCAAGACATATTTACCCGTCAACTCAGTCAAACAACAGTATTAACCTATATAAAATCTCTGAAAAATTAAAGAGAAAAAAACACACCATTGGCATTTAGATGCATAGTTTCAAATGGACCAATCAGAGCGTAACGTAGTCCAAGACCATCTGTCACTGCTGTTTCGATATCTTCAGGTGTACAAATGCCATCCTCAAAAAAGGAAAAAATAATATATTCTAAACAGCGTCAAACCACCGTGACGGTTTTTTAAAAGCAATCAGTTGGCATCAGGCTTTCTCCAGACGAGGTTTGACTTGATAAAATAAATATCCTTCCACTTTTGGGTTTTGGCATTTTTTGATGCTGTTCACAATAATAAATATTCCTATAAAAGGTTCAGCTACAGTGAAGAATGTTTAGGACGCGGTTTTGTTGGCTATGACGTTTTTCCAACTAATTACTACTCTACACGCTGCTACCTTAGTAAAGAAAAACCAATGCAATTTGAGATCACTTCCCATGCTCATTTCATAATTACTCTAACTTGTTGTGAACATACAAAAGTGCTTGGAGGTAACAAAACTGACGTAATTTCTACGTTTATGTCACCCTTGAGCCAGTCACACCATTACAAGGGAAAGTCATATCACTAATAGATAAACCCCAAAAATTAACTGAGCCATTTTGACCTGCAGTACACCAATCTTTCTTGTGGATTGTGACTACCTTCTTTCATCACTTTTTACCAGACAGTGCTACTTCCAGCTTACCCCCTCCCCCACCGCAAAACACCCATCACCTACCCATCCCATATGCAAAACTTCCTTATACCTCCACCAATCTCCAAGACTCCATGATAACAGCATACTGCAAACGATTCAAAACAAATCCATTCACTTCTTTCTTGGTTACCACAGGTGACTGGCCAATCTGTTTCATTAGAGCGACTGTCTGGTCTGTAACTTTACTGTCTGTCCAAGGAGCAGGAACAACCTCCACCAGTGGTACATAATATGGAGGGTTTATCTGATAATTGCAAAACCAAAAATAACATCAATTGTAAATCTTGCTAAAAGTAATTGTGCTTATGCAGTGCAGTAAGTTATCTCCAACCTCTGAGAGTGATTGCATCTTATTCTCCTTGCAGCATCACTGTTAATTCAAATGTAAACGTCATGAGAATAAGGAAAATGATCATCCAAAAGAGACGCTCTTGTTGTTAATGGCTCCGTTGTATGGTCACCCTTCACTGCCAGATATATCATGACTTTGGAAAGAGTGCAACGCTGAGCTACAAAGTTTATTTTATTTTTTGAAGATGGCTATGATGCTTGCAACTCTATGCTTAATCTGCTGTCCTTGGAACACAAATGATTTCTTTTTTGATGTGTTATTTTTTTTAAAAAGTTTTGAATGGTTATGTTGACTTTAACATCTCTTCAACAGTTCCGTTTTATTCTGATACTGCTAGGTACTCTATGAGAGAGAAAGATGGACTTACTTTAAAGGAGAATTATGCCCTTACAAACACTTTTAATTGTGATGAAATTTTGTGGGCCGAGGCCAGGAACGTGTTCGATAATTGAGTCAGTTTGCTAGACATAACGTCTCGTAGTCACGTTCGACGCACTAAAAACTACTATAAAACGAATACAAGAATTGTAAAAACGTGTAAAATGGTATATAAAAAGTCACTTGTAAAAATGTAGCGGAATTCCAAATCGATTTCGATCAATTACGATCCTCATCAGTAGTACTCCGCCATGTTTAAAATACTGAGTATTTTAAACATGGCGGAGTACTACTGATGAGGATCGTAATTGATCGAAATCGATTTGGAATTCCGCTACATTTTTACAAGTGACTTTTTATATACCATTTTACACGTTTTTACAATTCTTGTATTCGTTTTATAGTAGTTTTTAGTGCGTCGAACGTGACTACGAGACGTTATGTCTAGCAAACTGACTCAAACACTTTTAAGTTTAGTTTTTTAATTGTATTGTTGATATGTGGATTCACTTTCATTTTCGATGATATCAGTGTCTAGTATCTCAAGTTTTAAGCATGCTGTGAGGAACTTCTTAATGAATCCCACCTACACTGGTAAAATTACTGAAAACTCATTGTCACACATTTTAGAATTTTTGTATCAGATTTTAATTAATTATTAATATTAATTATATAATTAAATCATATTTCCCAACTATATATTTAGTTAGGTGGTCTGTCTGAAGATGGGATCTTGGACTCTTTTACAGACCATCCTTATGGCATTTCCTTTGTTATAAGTAATTATTTTATAATCTTAATTACCAATAAATTGTAATAAATAAATAAATAAAAACAAATTCAGTACTGATAGAAATATATGTAGAGCAATATGAAAAATATGCATTACTAATCTTAGAGGGTAAAGCAGTAAGGTCCTAATAAAGCTTTCATACTCACTGGATGGGCTACAATACACTGACTGCGATGCTTCAAAGCTTCCGTGAACTTCGACGGCACTATACAGGATGTGGAACTAGCTAATATCACATCATCAGAAGTAATACTTCTATCCAAGTTTTCAAAAACTTTTTTCTTGAGGTCAAGATTTTCTGGAGTACATTCCTAATCCAAAATAAAATACCAACACAACTTAAATAAAAATGCTATTGATGAATATACATCTAAAGTATACATTTTTCAATCAAAGAGGTTTTATTCATCAATAATCATTTAATGATATTCCATTGAATTATACCTGGACATACATGGCTCCATCCAATGCCTTTACAAGGTCGTCATAGCTGGTAACTAACTTAAACGCCTCCTCAGCGGCCATGCCTGGACAACGCATTAACCCTTTTATCTCCATATCATGCAGCTGGGACTCAATACTTGTCAATGCATTAGTCAGTTGACTGGCTACCGTGTCATACAATGCAAAATTGAAACCAGCACTGGAGAAAATCTGTCAAAAAGGCAGGATTTAGTGAGATTTTGTCTGAGGTACCAAGTGACTCAAAGTTATCTAATTTTTTAACAATCACTAAAATTGTCAAAAAGTGCTAACTGTGCCATTACTACTTACCACAGACCAAGATCTTCCTATCAAACCACTCATGAAAGAAAAAAGACAAATGAGAAATGTAGAAGCACATCAAGTTCTAACCTTTCCTACTGCTACATCCATAACCTTTGGACATTGTTATGTTTGACCATACAATTTCATTTTAAAAAAATTAAGCTTTACACTTTATCATCATTAGTTAAATTTGGAAGGGCACGTAGGGATCTATTATCATTTTTAACATATAATGAACAAAGTATGATTTGTCTGATTGGTGCTTTATCAGGTTATAGCGCCTGCATGTAACTAGTTACATCAAAAAAGCAATAGAATGCATTTTTCCAGCATTTATTTGAGCAATAGAACAAATTTTTCCAAGCACTATGATGGGATAAAGCCATGCAGGACGTTGGAAGAATACCAGGAAAGCTTATAAACCACATGCCTTTGGCTCACAATTTACAAGCTTCCTCGTGTTCTCCCAAACAGGTTCTATAAGGAGATTTGTCACCTTATAGAACCTGGAAAAAGGTGTTTTCTTGCCTAAATCTACCCTGCAAGCAGAGCGCTAGCCTTTTCTTCTTCTTTTTAACCCTCCAAGGGAAAAGGCTCTGCCTACATCCTGTTGTTGCTTTGAAATGCTGAAAGCCTAAAACTCTGGGCTTCTCAAGCTGGTTTTGCCTCCAGTCAAACCGGTTTTGGTGCACACACCTTTGTTTTTCATATAAACAGATGACCAAATCTGTGCACACAAATGGAACCGGAACCGGATATAGTTCAAGGGGGCATGGAAAAGGATCAGTTTCTAGGCAACTGCTGCGCATGTTCAAACGAGCAACAACAGGGTGTCGGCAGAGCCTTTTTCCCTTTTCGATTCGAGGAAAGGCTCTGCTCACAGGGTAGCCTAAATCAGGTCTTTTACAAAATTATACTGCACCTAGAGGTAACATTTTCACACCCACATTTGACTAATTTCACAACACACACAGGTGATCATGATAGATAACCTTCTTTGACAGAAGGTGTCATGATGTTGACAACAAGCTCCATAGGACCTTACAGAGCCACTTTCCAGTGTGCTATTACTTACTAGAGTCACACACAAATTGACCAATCACTTTACAGGAAATGGACCATGATTCCAAATAAATTTTGGATAGTGACAATCAGTGTTCATGGTGAAAGAGAGCTAAAAGTGACAAACAATTTTTTGTCTAGATTCCAGGTTAACTTTTGAAACCAGAATGGTTAAATTTTGTGTTTACTTGCTGAGCCAGGAAAGAGTGATCATACAGAAAATGGCCGTGCATTTTGCTTTCAAAATGATTGGCACAGTTTATAAAACCCACCTGCCAATGATGGCGACTTTTCCTTTGCTGTTTGAAGTGGCCATTTCTAACACAAAGAGGTTGACTTATTCTTTTCTGACATTAACTTTATCAGTAGCTGCCTTAATTAATAAAAATGCTTCAGTTTTCTCTATCAAACAAAACCAATCAACTATTATTAAGTCATAATTTAGTAAACATGATACAAAGGGTAACTGGTGAAGATCAGCATCTCGTCATTGTAGCCAAAAGTATCTTGACATAAAATATTTAGCTTCAACACGTTCTCAATCTACACAATATATTTGTTGTTTCTTGTATTCCAGTTGGTCAGTGGTAATTAACACAAATACTATAAATGCTCATGCAATTAGTCAAATAAACACTCAGAGATCTCTAGGATTCCGTCAACGTTACCATTATTTCAAATTCCAAAGGATTTCTCAAATTCTTTTAAAATTATGTCAAAATGTTGCGTCTTAAATTACTCAGGTCCGTGATCAATACATTTGTCCTGGCCCATGTGACAAGCTTAGCAGGGTAGGGCATCAGATATCAGAGGAAGAAACGTAAGCGTCATGATTGATCGAGAGAACAATAGAAGGAAGGGAAGCTAGGTTCTGGTTAGCTGATATAACACAATTTGAATTTAAAGAGGACAGACACGAAATCTTGTTTTTTCCTTAATTTTTGCGAATCTTATCAGTCTCGAAACCTAAACAAGATAGATTACGCGGGAATAATAAAGAAGAAAGATGAATAAAATATGGCAATCTGAAAATATATGTCCAGAGTGGTCCCTCTTTCCTTTTTTTGATCGAATATATATAACTTTCTTTCAAATTGTGTCTTGGCATTTGGGTGTCGAGAATAAAATTATGAGAGGAGTAAATTACCATAACGTGATCTGATCAGTTGGGTGTGCCTTGGCAGGCAAGATATTCGGTAAACCACACAAAAAAATTAGCATTGCGTTAAAATTCTGAGACTGAAAAATTGTTCAAAATGTTCCTTGCGTGACACAAAAGAGAGATGTTATTTTTCGAATCTGACTTACGGTAGTTCATCATAATGTATTTGACCAAAGAAAAATCCCTAAATTATAAAGCTATTCAATGTTAACGAACCTGCCCAGTGTTTGTCGAATTGGGACACGCCGTTCAGGAAGAGAAAAAATTTCCCGTTAGCCTAAGAAAGGAAAGTGACTCGATTACAACATTTCCAGTTTTGGAGTGCGCCCGCGCGCCATCTCGGGAAAAGGACAAAATCCACTAGGGTGGTGTACGTTGGTACGAAATCTGAGGACGTTTATTCAACCCTGCGAGAAAATTTCTAGATAAAGTGTACTCAAATTTTAATCCAATACCTTTTTTAGTATCTAAGTTAACTTTAATACAGAGAAATGCTTCGAAAAGTAGCTAATACGTTTAGTTTAAAATGTTACGTTCATATGTACCCTCATATGTACCCTACAATGGTTTGCAAGCCGATTGGCTCGTACTAAGAGGCTGGGTCGGGGATTCCCCACGGGAAAAGTCCCGGGGACGAACGTTGATAATGTTTGTCGTATGAGGTGATTTCGTTTTCCTCCGAAAGTTTTGGGACTGTTTTCCTCCCTGAAAGGTTTGTTTCTCGGCAGTCGATGATACTTGAATTTTAAAAAGGGTGTGAGGCAAGCCAAATGACTTTTTCGGCAAATTATGTCGGTTTCTACCCCCTAACTCTGACACAATTCTACTTCCGCTTGCAATCGCATTCTTAAAACCTTCGTTACTTAATTTTCTTTCAGGATTTTGAACTTAACTTCTTGAGAGGGGATACAGAAATGAGTTTCCAGATATAAATCGTCTTCTTTATCTGGAAGAATTAAGTAAAGTTTCGACAGATTTGGTTCTGCACGTTGGTTGCGATCCTTCAAGGACACCATGGCTTCGTTTCAACCGTCGAGTCATCTATTTGAACGAAACATCTCTCTAAACGATCTCGACTCCGCTTTAGACGTGCGAGAAATAGTACGAAAAGATGTCGTGGTACCCGAAGACGTTACAAAACATAGATATCTCGATGCATCTTCCAACTATACGTTTGTGCTCCCTTCGTTCCGAGACTTCTCTCTCGAATTCAGAAAATTCGTGTTCAGCTTTCTAGTGGATGGACACATAATGAGAGAGTTGGAAGCTGCCAGAAGACTTAATTGGTGCGGTTCTCTGGGTCGTATGGTGACAGTGAGTACTTTGGGCGATGGAAACTGTTTAATGCATGCAGCTTCTATTGGAATGTGGTCCGTCAACGATCGTTACCAGACTCTCAGGAAAACTGTTCATGAAGCGCTCGTGGAAGACGTGGAAGGTACAAGTAAGTTAAGATTTAAAGATGAAAGGAAAGGGTTAGAGTAGTCTGTTTTTTAATGTGCAACACCCCCCCCCCCTCAAAAAAGAGGAAAATGGTAGTAAATGATTCACAGTTTAATTTTAGTTTATCCATTTGCTCAGTGTTATTTTGGCTGGTACCTGAGATAAGTTCAGATTTGAACCAATCGTGTCCAGCTTTGACTCCCAATGGACATAAGCAATTGATTGACAGTGGGTTGCTATGGTTAAGTGATCTTTTAATTGATCTTTTTCCTTGTCTGTCTTTTTTTCACATCCTTCAAGCAAATGAGAAATGATCTGGTAAAATTAATTGTCAAATGCCTCAAAATGTCCCACAATGCTCAACAATTACTTTTTGTCAGGCACATGTAGGCCCCTTGGTTTTATCTTATAGGTTAAATCTTGTGTCTTGTATTTATTGGTGAGAATTTATATTTATTCGTGGTTTAAAGGTTTTTACCATGGTCGCTGGAAAGCTGAAGAAGAACGGCAAATATTGAACCAGCACGGAGGATATCAGAGAACAGAAGAACAATGGGATCACGAATGGGAGGAAGTTATAAGACATGTATCACAGAATGAATTTCCATTTGGTCCAAATGGCGCTCAGTTTGGAAGCCTTGAAGAGATCCACATCTTTGTCCTTGCCAACATCCTGCGTCGCACCATTATAGTAATGTCTGATGACACCTTAAGAGGACCATATGGTGATTCATATTCTCCAATAAACTTTGGCGGTGTTTACCTGCCTCTGTTGTGGGACTCTGTAGACTGTGTGAAAAGTCCTTTGGTAATTGGTTATGCAAATGGACATTTCACAGCAGTTGTTAGTATTCAAGATGGAAAGCTAGACCTGGAGGTTGAAAATCAGCCAGCTTCAAGCTCAACTAATTGCATGCATGCAGTGCCATTAGTGAAATTCGATGGATCACCATTACCAGTTCACTTTCTTCTCGATCATGAAGTACCTCTGGCCAATGACCGTGTTCGTCAGTACTTGGACTGTGCTAAAGTACCCTTTTTAAGTGATCAAGGAGAACCTAGGCAGACAGTTCTTGTGGCAAAGTTGCATTTTGGTGAGGAACCTCACTGCATGAAAGCTCTTATCGAGGGATACTTCCAAAGGGCCAGGGAGGAATATCAACGTATGCTGAGAACCAGTCAGGTTAATGCTCAATCTCAGCCAGGTACCAAACAACCAGCACTACAGATTGTTCAATGCCAAACTCCAGGTTGCACCTTCTATGGATCAACAGAAACTGGGAATCGGTGCTCTCAGTGTCTGAATGAGTATCTCAGGAACCTTGGACCTTTAGAACCAAGTCATCCCCGAGCAGTGAGACAGATTTTCTCACAGCAAAATTTTGTTACAACATCATCCCCAACACCACAAGCTCCTAATGCCTTTGTGACAACCATTCCAACAACCTTTCCAGCTACAACTTCTGCCAAATGCCGCACATCTGGGTGCAAGTATGCTGCAGTGTCTAACCATGGTGGCCTATGTGAGAGGTGCTTCGAAGCTGAGAGAAATGCTGAAGAAATGGCTGCAAGCATGAATCCCATGACTTTGGCAATCACAAAGCACTGTGCAAACAGAGTGAATGGCTGTGAGTTCTTTGGCCTGCCTGAACATCACAACTTATGCTCAAGATGCTATAGAACCTTTTGTCTACAGATGGAAAACACCTTGGCAACACTCCCTCAAACTGGTTTAAAACCCTGTAGTCCAGCATTGCCAGGACAGCCTAACAGTTGCCAGAGTCAGAACTGTCCATATCCTGGTGTTCCTGCATTGTATAGTATGTGTGTACAGTGCTATAATGGTTGTATTCACAGTTTTATAACCTCAAAGGGTGCATCAGTTGGGAGTGCTGTGCAACCCAGTCCACCCCAGCATGCACCACCACAAAATATCACAAGAATGAATCCAGTTCCAACTGGTGGTAGAAGGAAAGGTGTCCTCTGTGCCTCTCCAGGCTGCTTCAGTGAAGGAATTTCTCAATTCTCAGACTTGTGTAGAGAATGCCATGCAAGAAAATCTGGTCCCTCTCCACAAGAACGAAACACTCCAGTATCTACTGCAAGAGAAGCTAGTGTCCCTTTAACCACACGGTCTCCAAGCTCCACATCTGCGGCAGCAGTGGCAGCTGCCTCAAATCATCACCTAACATCAGCGCCAACAAGATCAGGCAGCACAGCAGGGACAGCATCGAGGGTATCAGGACATCCTCTTCCAGCTTTTACAAGTAGCCGCACCAATACTAATGCTAACCCTGGGACCTCGTCATCTGTCGGGGCACAGCGTCCTTATCAAGTCACTTTACCACAAGCACCATCCACTGAATCAAGAACTGATAAGTGTGCCTTGTGTGGAAAAGAAGCAGAGCTGGATGGGGTATTGTGTAAAGATTGCTTTGCTGCAGGTTTTCAGGCAGAACTGCGGAACATGGAGAAGAGGCAAGCTTCAGTATCCCAGACATCATCCAAACAACAAGGCACCTTTGCGGCTGTTTCTTCAAACAACCAGGTAGGCAGTTATTTAAAAATTGAACTAAGAACTCCCTATCTTTAAGGGCAGTTTACTTCATAAACTCCAAACAGTCTTATTTGCACCTTTTGTTGCCCTCATTTGCTTTGCTGAAGCACATAAAATGGTGTTGTGAAATATCTCAATGAAGACAGTTACCGGTAAGCAACAAAATTATGTTAGTTTGGCTGGAATGCACAGCAATATACAGCTAGAAGGAAGACAGCCATCATCCACAGACTTAAGTTTTGTTTAAAAAAATGCTATAATACATAAATACGCCTTGAAGGATCATTATTTGCTGTTAATATATGTAACCCTTGAGCATTTTCTTTTTTGAAGGGAGCACAAAGCACTTCTCAAGGAATGAACCAAACAGAGATAGCAACAGCAACAGCAACAGCCAAGAAGATGGCTGTGAAGGTAACTGAGCTTCCATGTACAACCACAGGCTGTCTGAGATTTGGAACCCCAGAGAAGAATGGGTTATGTGAGCAGTGCTATCTTGTTGAGAGAAGGATACGGCGTGGCTCATCTACTGAAGCACATCAAAATCAGGCTCCAGGATTAAGAGAAAACCCACGCAGTTCTCCAACGCCCACACAAAATCGCCAGTTTGGTTATGACCTTCCAGAACCTGTACAAGTGTCCCAGCCACAAAACTCTCTGTATGCACCTCGTGCAAGACAAACTCAGTCAAATTCGGGCAGTGACGACATCAGTGGTCAAAAATGCCGTGGCACAAACTGCACCTTATTTGGAACGCCAGAGACAAATGGATTTTGTTCTCGGTGCTTTTTGGAGAGCACTCTTCCTCTTCCATACCCTCATTCAGTTCCAGGTAACATTTGGATTAAAATTTTTGAAAGTGAGGCTAAATTTGTTAGCTACGTTAATATTAATAGTATTGTTGTGTGTTGCTATTCCTCTTAATTTCATGAATGTGCTCTTCTGTTTTGATATCTTACAGTGTATGCAATTGTTTTGTGCTGTAACAATAGGTTACTTCTAACCAACAACCTCTAACCATGTCAAAAAAAAAAAAAAAGACAAATGATGGGTGCACAAATTACACACTATACAAAAATCCAGCAATTGTAGCCAACAGATATGCAATCCCCTTAAGAAGTGGGTTATTGAAAGTAGAGTTTTGTATTCCTTTTTCCATCTTAAAATTAACCTTAAAATTAAATTGGATCTCTCAATAGACTTCTCTACTGCATCTCATCCAGCAGCAGTAGTGCAAAGATGCACTGTAACTGGATGTGACCGCACTGCTGCACCAGAGAGACATGGTCACTGCCAAGACTGCTTTGGAATGTTCCACCCTGATGTTCTCTCTCGTGAATCCTTTCTCAACGATTCTCATAGATGACTGCAAATATGTTTAAACAGGCTGTAATAGGGAACAGTCAGTTTATAATAAAAGTACCTAACACTGATATGATTGTAAGTGCATCTTAATTCAGCATTATCACGCTTTTCTGCTGAATGCTGGGTATAAATTAAGGACTGTTCAAAGTTTCAACCATGTTGGACCAATATGAAAACAATATTAATTCATTAAAAAGTCTACAAGGATCAAACCTTGGTCAATGAAACCTGGTAGATTGGTCTGTTCGTAGGCTTGTTTCCTCTTTAATCAATGTCCGGAGCATGTGCAAAAGAACAGTTGCCAGGAATTGATAAAGGACAAAATTAACATTAGGGAGTGAAGGACAGTAGACATTCCTGAGGAACATTGTATTTGTAAAAAGAATCAGTTACAGTTTTTGTTACTTGACACATCAGCAGTAACTGAGAGAACTTATAAGTTCTTACTAGCCCTTATTCTCAGCTCAGAAGGGTACAACTCCTAATTAAGAGAAATTAGATTTACAGTATGTTACAAGTGTTAATATGGTTAGTTGTGTAGATGGCTTATTTTGAAAGTATTAATTTCATTTATTCTTAGGGTAACCTTGAGCATTGATTAGTCAAAATTAATATTATATCTTTTCGCCTAATTAGCAAGTTTTTTCAGGGACATTGTTGTTTGGGAAGTTGGTTTAAAAAGCTTGTTTTAAACTAACCAAAAAAAACAATTAAAAGTTCCATTTGAGTGTAATGGGAAACAGACTGGTGAAAGAAAAAAAAGGACTTCTGACACATGCATTGACATCCAGCTATTGCAGTATAGGCTCTGGGCATGTAAATAGTAATGATGTGTGCATTTAATTAATTCAATTTTTTTTAAGCACTACAGTAAGAGAAAAATGTTCAAGTTTAAAATACAAGTAGTGGTGTTAACAAATGCAATAATAAACTTGATTGCTTGAGATGTCTGTACCATCAATTATTCAATTACGATAAAAATAATTATATTCTGTTGTTGGATAATAAAGTATTTTGTGCACAAGTCTTCACTGCTATGACATTCTCTTCCACTAGATGTGGTAACCATTCCACTTCAAAGAACTTAGCCTACTGGGAACAGAGACTTAAAAAAAAGTGAAATTCAGGCATTCGTGATACCTTTGATAAGAGACAATTTTGGTCTAGTTTCAAAGCAATTTGACAAATTATTCTAATTGCATTCAGTCAAGGCAATTTAATTGTACATGTAGGAATGACATACAGACATGTAACACACTGCAGCACTAGTCATAGTCAATGCTGAGTACATCAGCCCTTTAGCTCCCAAGATCTGCTTGTTAATTCCCCCCTCTACCTACGTCACACACTTGCTTGTAAATTAATAGTGAGAATTTGGTGTTAAAAAGCTTCCACCTGATAAATTTGAATACTCCCATTACCTGTTTGCTGGATAATGTATGGAAATTATAAGGAGAAGTTTCATGTTAATCAATTATAGGAGTTAATGAACACAGTAATGATGAGGTTGATAGTTGTGTCCTTACAATGAATAATCAAAACATACATAAAAGATATGAAATGCATGTACATGACATGCCTTCCTAAAATATCCACATTCCAACTCCCAACTGAAAAATTAACACCAAGTGCAAATAAACCTCCCCCCCCCCCTTAGAACAAAGCATAACACAAGTAACATTTTCAACAAAGGCTTTATTACATGTTGGACATTTTACAGTCGAATTTATTAGCGTTTTCCTCCAACACGAGGGGCCTTTGTCTGAACAGGTTTGGCTGCTTTCTGCTTCTGCCTGACAGGCTGTTGTTGCTGTGCCTGTAAGAAATTGGGTTGTAAACATAAGCAGTCTGGTAGATGAGTGTGAAAAGTTCAAGTACAGTTTGTTCATTGTGAAACTTGCATGTCATAGACGATTACAATGTGTACATTAATTCCTTTACTATTATTGCTATGTTACAAAAGCTAATGTCTTTGGAATCCTGAAACATAACTTGCAGTAATAGTAGAGCAGGGTAGTTGCTAAGCACTGGCTGCCTGTGAAATTTGCTTGGTAAAGCACAACAGGCACTTTTGAGGTTATGCACTTACAAGTAATGGACATAGAACCCTATATTCTGAAACAGAGGCTTAACTAACCTAAGTATTAGTGGCACTATCACAAGTAAACTGATTGAAATAGAACAATTTTTTCAGCTTTTTTTTTTTTATTGAGACTTCTTTGTTTCTTGCATCCACCATTTTGTTCACAAGAAACTGTGTAGTACCACATTCAAAAGTGTTGCAAAAGACTGGCAATGAAACGTCATCACAAGGCCAGGTCTCTCTTTGAGCTGCCTCGCTTTCAATTTCAGCTAGCAGCTTCACTGCTTAGTTACAACCCTGGCTAGAGAAAAGCCACTTAACTGTTTAAACCGTAAGAGTGACCAACATCTTATTTCTCCCAATAATAACACTTCTGAATTATTCACCAAGACTATGAGGATAATGGAAATGACTGCCCATCTAAGAGGCTTTGATTGTTGAACCAATTCTTCTTATCAGTACCAAAGGACATTTACAGGGCTCAACACTAACTTTTCAACCTACTAGCCAAGTGGCTAATGACAACTTAGATGTTATGACAATTTCAGTTTGTTCACCAGCCAAACTGGCTGATGGAAATTGAAAACCACCAGTTTGAGCTAACCATTGAGCTCTATCCATTGAGCTAACCGCCTCCCAGTTAGCTCAATGGATAGAGCACTGCACTGTTAAGCAGGAGGTCGAGGTTTCAAGCCCCAGCCGGACCAACACTCAGGGTCTTAAAGTAATTGAGTAGAATATGCTACCTTTCTTTTACATCAAGAAATGGTTAGATATTCTAGTCTTCTCGGATAGGGATGGATAAATGGAGGTCCCATCTCCTGCAGAGTTAGGGGCAGGAGACGTTAATTTCCCATGCACGAGATTACTGTGTGATGGATGTCCTCCCCTGGGGTGGGATGGGTGGGTTAATACAGCAGGTCCACATCAGCTAAGCTGCCAATTAATCAACCTGCTTAATCAACCTACTTAATCAATCTGCTTAACACATTGACACTTACGTGTAACACGTGCCGACGAAAAGTCAAAATTTTGGAGAAACCAAGAAGGCAAACACAATGCGCAGTAAATTTTTAAAAATCAGCTTTTCCAAAAAAAAGCTCCAGTGAAAGAGGACTAATTAAAGAACTTATTTCCGGCGAAAAAAGCGATAGGTGCATATTACGTTTTAACTCAAAAATCAAGATGAAAGATAAAAATCGCTAAATATTTTCGCATGTGTGAAAATAGGCATGTGGATCATATTTCAAAAGGGAATATGCAAATTTGTCCATGAGTGAAGAGATCTCAAGTTTCATGGAATCTGTCAATAGGAAGCAAGACTAAAATGGCCAAGAAATATTTCGGGACGTCAGATTTATTCAAAACAGTTTTTGATTTACTGTAATAAGCGAAAAACGTATGAATTTCTTACGTGTAAAAAGCCCATGCGGTAAAATTCATCATGCTTGGATCGTTGTTTACTTGCCTTCGTGGCCAGAAATTGCGCAGCGTTATGGTGAAAATTCTGAAAAAACTTCGATTTGAGGCAAAATCTTCTATTAAACTATACTTTTTGAACACCTTGTTACTCAAATATAATATTTACCGGGCCATTGAATCGTCAAATTGTCGCCAGGCCCTGCTTGAAGTCCGAAAGTTTGGTTTTCACTTTACGTCCATAATTCGCATCGCCTTAGAGAATCGTAATGTCGTTGACTTGAGAGCTTATTCTGTCACTTTTAAGACCTGGATATCCATTCTTTTCCAAGTAGAGTATTCTATAGCATTGTTACTTTACATTCTGAATTCCACAAGGTCTAACTCGATCGCAAATGAACGAAAAATCCGACCTGAAAATTTTGAGGGTCGGCCGCGTGGACGCCATATTTTCAAATTTGATCATTTAGTGAAGACGCATAGAGTAAAGCCCCTCTAGTACCCCCTAAAGTCGAAAAAATATATGCGCAAACAACGGATTCTGATTGGCTTATTGATCTCCAAACTATAGAGGAAGTTTGGGGACAAAACTCCACTTAGTATGGGAGGTAGGGGGAAAGCATTCCTCGCGCGAGGCGATCGCGAAGTTCGGGCGGTTGAGGTGTCAATGGGACAAATAAATAAATACTAAAAATACTAAACTGAGTTTCTACTAGTCTGTGGCTAGTTGGCTACCATTTGTGTCTAGCCCTGATCTATACAGAAGGGTATGAATAATATAGATGCTGATGCTGGGGTGTAAAAGGCTGGTGTCACACATACCTTGAGAGTTTTCTTTTGTTGCTCTTTAGCCCTTGATTTCTCCTTTGCAGCCCTTTGGGAAAAAAATATAAGAATATTCTTTAAATTTGTAAAATAATACAAACTACTTAAATGTAGTTATGGTTACCTGTCCAGATCACTATTCTCAGAGTTTAGATGAGTTTCAAATCAGAGATTCTCCGTGAGAATCTCAAACAATGTAGGTAAATCTAATCATCATGGAATTGCCTGGACAACAAGGCTGCACTTTGATGTAGGTTCATGATTCTAAAGCAGTAATGACAAAGTGTCCTTTGTTTTAGAGAGTTCAGAGAAAAACCAGAACATCTCCTGTTCTTAAAAAAAAAATCTTCAATGCCTGCAAAGAATGCACTATTCAGATCCTCACAAGGAAAGACAACAAAGTCATCACCAGGTTCAACAATTTCTCTACAGCTTTTTAAACAAAAACTTAGACAGGCCTCAAGGACATTAGATCGCATTCAATTCGAAAAGGAGGCCCGTGTGATAACATCAAAGCAAACGGATTTTTTATACTTTTAAGTCCTTGAAATTTCTTTACTTTTTCCTTAGAATTGTCCATATATTTAAGTAGTTCCTTTTTAGTTCCTGGCAGGTCCACACCAGCCTTTGGGTTGCCACAAACCGACCTGCCTTAACAAAAATTATATGTATGTATGTATGTATGTATGTATGTATGTACCCTTCCTTCAATCAGCAAACAATGGAAATTACTTTGGCAAGTTCTTGCCACTTCTCCCCAAATTTTATGTGTTCTTTCCAGATTTGAAAGAATTATATTTAACCAAAACAAGCTGTGTATTGAACTACAGTATATGGTTACAATAAAAGAAACTGCAAAAAGAAAAGGTCCAGTCTTTTGTGTTTAATAGTCAACCAAATGGACAAAATCCACTGAATAGTAGGAACTTTACTGGACTAAATTTACCCTTAAAACCAACCTGATGGCTTGTTCACGCTGGGCTTTTCTGACTTCAGGTTTCTGGTTCCGCTTGGCCAAGATGTTCTCAAGAGTTGCCCCCTGGACTGAACGCTGGAACTTGACATTACGTCTGGTTCTCTTTTTGGAGACCTCCTCTGTCGTACCCTTCTTATGCTTTCGCCTATAAAGCACAGTCCACGTAATCTTACGGGGATTGCGGCGCATTAACAAGGCTCGCTCGCATTTCTTGTTAAGGAAGTTGAAGACCTTAAAGTAAAACAGAACAAATCTTGCTTAAGTGACCATTAGCAGGGTTCCAATAACTTTTTCCATAAGCTGCTACCAATGAAGTAATACATATTATTAAAAACTAGATCATTGGATAATGCAATTCAAGACTTTCTTTTTATTGGCTTAGCCATTATGGTATATTAGCCAATATACCATAATCTACAAATATAGTTAGCATACACGTCAGCTTAAAATCAAAAGGGAGCTAAAAAATCCTGTTTCTTCTTACAAAATAATAATTTTTTGGAGGTGTTTTTAATAAAACACTTATTCCACTCACGCTTGTTGGATATGAGATGATTATAGCCAACTCAGTGCTACGGGCCTCGTTGGCTATCTATCATCTCATATCCAACGTGCGCTCGTGGAATAATTGTTAATTATACCACAATTGCCCGTAATTCTGCCATCTGACTGGCCAATTTACCATTGTCGATAAGAGTACAGACAATTCTGCTGACATCAACATCATAAAAAACAAGTTGATAGTGGTTTAACATGCAGGATTGTACTTTTATCTCCAACAACATTCATCATTGCAGTGGCAAAAATTTGTTGCAGACTCACAAGGCACAGCCTCATGAGTCTAAAACATTTTTATTGTTTTAAACAGCTCTTCAAAACTTCACAAGAAAGGCTCGCTTCTTCTTTTTAATTTACTTTCTTTAACAACACAACTAAAGGACTCTCACCACACCACTGTCTGACACAGAATGGAGAGTAAGAAAGGTAGCCACTCCGATTGCAGCATTTGGAACAAAATGTTATTAGATTAGCACCTGCTATGAGTTCTACTTCTTTTTGTCACAAATGCAACCATTTAATTTACATGTAGCTCTATATTCTGTAGTTGCTCCATAGAAATAACATTAAAAGCTAGAAGTACAGAGACACACTCAACTGTTGGAAAATCTTCTCTAACATGCAAGAAAACAGACTAAAGAAACTTTGAATCGAATATACTCGTGAGTGTACTTCCTCGATGCAGTTACACTTCTGAATCATTTATGCGAAAATCTGACCATTATCTACTATACTTGTAATATATGACTTTATGACAGAACATACCTTTCCATCCAGCCTGATATACCTCTTGCCATGGCCAGGGTAGATCTTGTACCCACTGTAGTTGCACAACTCGAGCCTAGGAAGTAGGACCAAATTTCATATTTTAAGTCAAAATGAAGAATCATTTCAGCATATATTAAGCCAAAAAGATGTACCATCTGTTAGGCTATGATTACTAGATGAACATTATTGTAAAATAATAACCATATAGGACGCTATCAATCAGACACAAGTAGTATTCCTAGTATGATAGTATAACAAAGAAAACAAGCAAAATATCACAAGTCAGTGGTTATAATTTCAATTTTATCCACAGAATTGAAACTAAGATACTTTTAGTAGCTTCGTATGGTTGATTTATGTTCTCATATAGTAGATAAATGTCCGGATGGCAGAGGATTTTGAAGATTACTTACTTCATCGTTAAACGATGATTATTTTGGTGGAAGAGAAGGAATTAAGGTGCGCATGAGCACTAAGACACTTCTGTGAGGCGAAGAGCATTATGGGAATCTCAATAGGGCGGCTTTGTAGACGATCAATTAGCAAACATTCTTAACGCGATTTTATAGAAGATACATGGATAAGAGTATGGAAGGTCAAGGTAGCAGTAAAGCTAAACCAAGAGAGGCTAAAGAAAGTGAGAAGTCACAGGTTAAAGCCACTTCGAAAATGCAAGAACATTCTTTTTTAACAGACAGAACGGACGTGAAACAAATGGAGAAAGGACTGTTAGATCTTATGCATGATTTCAATCACGGCAAACTTTATGCGTTTGGTAGGGACTGTACAATCGAGAAGATGGATAAAGTACGCGAACTTCAGGAACATTTGGCTCAACTTCACTTTGAACTTGATAATATGACAGAGGGATTTGGAGATGAAGAGGAGCCAAGAAGCGGCGGCAATCTAGAGAAATTAATGAAGAATTTAGAGACTCTAAGTTCGACCGTTCAGAGCTTGCATCAAGAAAGCTCTTCTTGATATGAACTGGAGAATTAGGTGTATCATTAAAGACACAGTGAGAGCACAAATTGGAGTGCTTCTTAGTACGTGCACAAAAGTGCACTTAGTAATAATAACATTATTTTGTTTGGTTGTTGGGCTTTCGATCTACCCTGCGAGCAGAGCCTTTTTAAGCTCCTCGGAGGGTTAAAAAGAAGAAAAGATGAAGAAAAGGCGCTGATCACAGAGTACTTTTGATCTGAACTTTCTTTTCAATATCTACTCCCATCTGCGTTGACAAGATATTCTTAAGGGGGTTTACAATCTATTTTCAAATTACAGTTTTCAAAGAAACAACAAAGGCCAATTTTTGGGCAAATTTTAAACCTTTACCATTGATTTAGGGTGATAAATTTATGTAATCAAGTAGATACCAAAATTGGGTGTACGAGACCCTGTTTGTCAGAGGGACTAGGATTTTTCACTAAAAATATAGGTAGAAGGTAATGAATTGCATTTAAAAAGAATGTTGTGGTGATGAATATTTAGGTACTATAGCCAAGAACAGTAGTAATTTATACAGTATCTTGTCATTTGATATTGTAATAAATAATGTTACTTTGTATGGATTTTTTCAGTCATTTCCTCTCCTTTTCCTGCTGGGTAAAGCCTTACTGACATTGTAACTTAAATTATTGATAGAGCTTATTCCAGTTTCTGTTTTAACACTTCATACTCTAATTAAGTGCTCTTTAGTTGGTGATCATTTCCTTTATTCTCCTGACCTTAATGTGTGATTCAGGGCTGATATTGTAAGGAAAAATTAGATGTTGGTCACTTATTGGGGTCTGAGGATTAAGGTACTGTGTCATGGCAAATACAAGTGGAGATCAGGACATACATGGAACCACAAAATTATGAACGATAACTACTGTCAGCTTCATTTGCTCTCCAAAAAACAACAGGTTTGGGGAAAAACAATTCTCTGAGTTTGAAATTCTTCTTAAATATCTTTTGGTTCAATGTATATATGAAGTTCATATATTTTGAAGTGCGGTATTAGATACGTATGATGCATGATCCTTGCAGTAGAGAGCGCTATTTATGCAATAGCGAAAATCAAACCTGAAAAAAAATCAGGCCTGGGGATTCGAACCACTGACCTCTGCGATATTAGTGCAGCGCTCTACCAATTGAGCTAACAAGCCAACTGGGAGCAGGCAGTTGGCTTGTTAGCTCAATTGGTAGAGCGCTGCACTAGTATCGCAGAGGTCAGTGGTTCGAATCCCATACAGGCCTGATTTTTTTCAGGTCTGATTTTCGCTATTGCATAAATAGCGCTCTCTACTGCGAGGATCATGCATCAAACGTAAATATCTTTTATTTAATGATTTAAAACTGGTACAGTCACATGCTAAATCACTAATAATAAACTCTTGTATAGAAAAATTGGTGATAGCTTCAAATGGTCTCTAAGAAGCTCTTAGATTAATTTTTATTTCTATGAACTAAAAACCTAACTAGGGGCCTAGCCAGCCTGTAGGTCTAGTCCTATTTCTTCCACCTGCTTGAGTTTTACAATATGACTCTTGCAAACATTGAAATAAAAGTTGAACTTTCTTAGGCTATGCCCCTGCTAACCTAACATTTACCCACAATGCACCTTATTAGAAAAAGTCAAATGCTAACAAAGAAATAGGTAATGAGAACAGACACGACCCCTAATTCAGAATAATCTTCCCCTCATCTTTACTTTTTCCATAAATAAAGAAAATACTCTGACTGAAAAATACTGTACAACTTCAACACAACAAATGGCTATTATCATAATCACTTTGCATTTCTCTGCTAGTTTGGAACATTAAACTCCCATCAATAATGTGATGGAATTGTATTGCTTGCTTGTCTCATCGCATTGCATTCAAATTGCGACGATAGTTCTTATAATGATTAATATATAGATTTAGCCAAGCCTAAAAGCGGAGCTCCCAAGTTCGTAATGTTAATGATAACATAAAAGAGGTGCATTTGCCAAGACTCGCCTGAGACACCCCTCCCTTCATTTTGATAGTCTCCCCCACCCTACCTGTGCATTCTGAAGGCCCGTACGTACACACGCTCAGTCAGTCACGTGACAACCAAATTAAAAGAGGTTGACCATATTCCAGGGGTATGGGGCTCTGCCCCATGCGCTTTGTGCGCATGGGAGCCCCGCTACAGATTTATAAAAATGAAAGATAGGATTTTGTTTGTTCAATGCTTTTCTTACCAAATTAAAATAAGAAAATGAAAAAATGTGTACCCCCCTCCTTTTTATTTAGTCCATTTTGGAAAAAAAAGTCAATTATGATGCAAAGAAATCAAAGTTACTCAATGCATATCATAAAAAATTAATTCTTTATGTACACAAGATCACTTATTGAAGAGATGCTTAAAAAATCCCTAATGACCCCAGAGAGATTCTTTCACATTTTTTTTTTTAATCTATTGCATGTAAAACTGAGAATTAAAATTTACAGCTAGTCATAAAGGGTTTTGTTCCAAGCACCAAACTGTTACAGTAATTATTAGAAAGTACTTTTGGTGACATGGTCTCTTCTTTCTAATGACATCCCTTCAGAGGAGTGGCAAGATATAAAAATACACCTCTTTGTCCCTTTATCCCCACAATCTAATAATCAATCCTCCCCACTGCTTGCCATATATTTCCTTTTTAATTAAACAGCAGAATTTGGTCCTATATCAAGAAAACACCCTCTTGCTGATAAGCTTGTCAGTTCTCACAACCTTTCAGTGATGCAGCAAAAGTAAGCCAGGTTAGTAAGTAATTGGCAGCCTGTGCAGACAAAATCTCTATTCTTTCTGGCTTTCTAGTAGGTAAACTTTGCAACCCAAGTATTGTTGCTGGGTTGATAGCAAGTCAAGGTGACTGAGAGTTCAGACATTGTGTCTGTCTTACAAAAAGTCTGTAGTTTCAATCCACCTTCAGTGAACATCAACATACTATCAGTGTCTTTTGACAAGTTTTGTGTCCTATTACTTAAATTGGTTTGTACAGCAATGTTGAAACATATTTCTCCCTAAAGCGATGTGTTCCACTTAATGTCATAACACCATCCTAGAAAAGAGAATAAGTCTGTTTTAGTTCAATATCCAGCAAATGTAGTTAAAATTTAAATGATTAAAATAGGTTGTAGCTATCTATCATGGAGGAGTCACTTGTGGTGAGGTATAATAATTTCTCTCACAGTGTAGGAACTTGTATCAATCACAACATTTCAACTGCATATTACTAAGCTAGTAGTATGTAATTGAAAAATCACAATCCACATTTATTAGAAGAGATAAAGTACAAATTAGAGTTTCATTTTCACCCCATTGCAGGTTAGAACTACTTTCAATTGTTCTTTTGTCTTCAGAATGTTTATTCTACTTTACGTTAGTAAATAATTGTTTATCTCTCTGCATTGGCCAAATTACTACCACTGTATAATGTTAACGTAACCTGGAGTACTGGACACCTTGTATCAAGCAGACTTTAGAGAGAGTGCTGCCATTGTCAGTTTAAGGAGTGATTAAGAAGTAATTTCTTCTCACAATGTCAACACACCATCAAAGAGACAGGTGAGGAGAATTAGAAATTTATCAGCGAGGATATCATTTGATTTGACACTGAATTCCCCTAATCTAAGAAACATATTAATTAAGGAAGACTTTGGGGAGAATTGCTCTGGAGATATCAGGAGAGAAAAGGTTTAAAACTGAGTCTGAAAATCTCCAGCATAAAGTTTTAAAGGAAAACTGAGAATAAAAAGTATATTAAGATACATACACACATTAAAACAAACACACACACACACACACACACACACAAACACACACACACACCTATATATATTACCACAGACAATTATGAACATACCTTGATAGAGAGTGCATATAAGTGATTTAGTGACACATGATTTGGTTCTGGCAAAAGGGAAGGATCATTGTGATCCACTACATCTTTGTTGAGTATTACATGGAGAAGGTGAGGTGGAAGAACTGGAGGTACACTGGAGTGCATGCCATCTTGCACAATAACTGGGTTGTGATGCGATGGGATTAGTTGGCCGTAGGAACCAGGAGGAGATCCTGATACTGATTCTAAAAGAAAAAAATTAAATTTACCTTAGATAAAAAAAATTCTTTCTTGACATAAAAACATAATGATGATACAGGCGACAAATAATCAGTTTCAGTCCAAAAGAGGAAGAATTCAAACATGATTACTTCTTTGGCTCCAACGAGTGACCAACACAGAATTTCTCCTTACATTATCAACACAATATCAAGCAGCCGAGTGGTGAGAATAGAAAAAAATGTCAATTAGGGGATGATTAGTCGATCAAATGCCAAATTCTCCCAACTTACCCCAACTTACATTATAAAAGACCTTCTGACAGGGTGCGCGGGTGCACAATTCGGTCAAGGCTGCTAGCGTTGTGGCTTTCTTATTCAAAGTGAAAAAAAGGAATGTTTATTCTTGGCATTTACAGGACGAATGGGTCGTCAGATATTAAGACTTTCGTAAATAGTGGTGGAATAAGAAAACACGGCTTCCATCGACAGTAACTTTTACTGGCAAACTCAAATTATGGGGCGATCTTGAGTGTTTTCGTTGAGCTCTTTCGATCGCTTTGACGAACAGAGAATTGCTTCAAAATAGGTTCTAAAGTTCAGTCAATAAGATAAAAATCATTCAAAGTAAAATCTAGAGGTCATTTAGCCATTACAGGAGGAATTTCAAATTGATATTACAAGAAAAGGTATGATTTATGAGGAGAACCCAATGTTTAGTTTAACAGGGAGTGGGATACAAAATATTTTGTTTGACGCAAGATTATGCAATTCCGCATGATTAACTTTTTCTCCTGCACAATTCGCCTCCAAAAAACTGCACAATTTTCATTTTTTTCCTGCACCCTATCAGAGGGCCAGTCATAAGATCTGTATGATAGGCAGTATATATATCTTATTAACCAAGCGCGAGGGCCGTACTGGGAGAATATTGGCCCGAGGTCTTGACAGTACAGACCAAGCGCAGCGAGGTCCGTACAAAAAAGACCGAGGGCCGATGTTCTTCCAGTATGGTCCTGAGCAAGCTTGGTTAATAAGAGATTTATTATACGATTGAAGTTCAAAGGGATACAAGTGCGGTGTCATTCAGAACCATTCGGGACAGTGCCCGGTCCAATACTTAGAGAATATTGACCGGCAATAGCGCATTTTGATTGGTTGATTTTAGTTATTGGCCCTCTGACTGCCCGAGTCGTGTAATAAAGAGAATTATCACTGAGATCTTGGGAGTGAAAGTATTACTCACTGATTGATCCAGCTGAACCGATACTTGCACTGGCATCAGACTCCAGAGCTTGAAACACTTCAAAGTCAGACTTCTTAACATTGATCACGTTGTTTCTACCTCCAAAATTGTCATTTGTGGTTGGCTAGTAAAATGAAAAATTAAAACAAGAAGATCCTAGTTTTATTTTAGTTTCTGAATTATCATTATTAATAACAGATACTGATTGTTTTCCTTTTCAGGCAGTAATCAGTAAAAATTACCACTGTGACAGTTCTTGCAGCTTAATGATCTGGTGCTGAAATTACATTCTACTTTTTTCTTTCCTTTGCCACCATTACTTCCCTGAAGGTCTCCCCCTCACATGTAATTTTCACTCTCCCATATTGAATTTTGAGAGATTTTCCCTCATTTTCCCTACAATGGCACTTTAAACTTTATACCGATGAGAGAGACTTCACACTCAGCCTCGTTCTTGCCGCATAATTTCAGCACCAAATCACTGAATGGCAAGAACTTTGAAGAGGCTTATTGGAAAGACAATTGCTCTTTAAAGTTCTACAAGTTGGAAAATTTATTTTCGCTGACACGCTTAGAATAAGGGCGAACACTATTGATCAAAACTACATAAAGCCTAACTTGAACTCCTACTGGACAATGTGAATAGCCAATTGGTGTGTCTTTCTTGTGACCAAAACCAAGTTATTCCTTGGAGCGGGTCACCAAAATTTTAGGACTCTCAAAAATGCATGCAACCCCAATTTGGTCAAACAGTTTGGTCTTATGACCATAAATAAATAATCCTAGTGCTGCTATCCACCCTGATAAGATCATTTTGCCTCATCAAATATACACTTACAGCATTTGGGTCATGGATCCAGCGGCCATCCACACAAAACTTGTACTCGTGCTCCCCCTCGGGCAGTTCAAGTATGGCTGAGAATTCTCCTTGGCTACAAAGAGAGACAGAGATATCTTCACTAAATAAATTTACTCATTGAAGGCGTACATAACAAGGCCTGGTCAGGAGTCAAAAGGAAAAAAAATCACTAGCTAGCAAAGGAAATCTGCTCACAAATCAACCAAAGTGAATAGTTTGAAATCAAAGGATGGTTACATGTATATTTGGAAAAAAAAAGTCTAGCATCTACTGTTGACAATCTAAATAGTTACTACTCAGACTTGATATTTACTGACCTAAGATTCATTGGAATTCTTGTTTTCCAATCATTAAAACTTCCAGAGAGTAAGACTTCTCTGCCACCATGTTCCCAACCAAACACTGTTGGCACAGTCCTCTTTAGCGGAGGCTCTGGTTCCATGAGGTCATCATCGAAATCAAACTCACTTTGATCATCAAAATCTGACTCTTTTGCTAAAATAAAATCACAGACAAATTGAACTTTTTCAGTAAAAGATAAAAAAGAAAGCTACCACTCCACATATAAAACCCATTCTCTTTGTCACCAAGGATGATCCTCGCCAAGAGTTTTCGCTGAACAGTTGTCGCAACCGGAAATTGTGTGTGACATAAGTTGTCGTTGTGTTTGACAATCACGTGCCCCGCGCACGTGATAAAAAGGAACTTTGAACTGTCAAAAAAGTAAGAGTTGTTGTGATAGAAAAAAGTGCAAGTGGTTGTAAGAGAGAAAGGTTATTAAAAACTGAGTATACAAAAAACATTGTGAGTTTCCTTTGTCGAGGTAAACGAAATTCCCAACACAGTTGTTTCAGCCAATTACTGGTCTCTTCAAATTAATTTTCCCTTACTGCAGATACTTTGGATTTCACAAATAAAAAATCCCTATTACATGTACATGAAAATGAAAGTTTCTTCCATCACTGGGGATTAAAGTTGAACCTCCATGAGAGGATACCTCAGAAAAGCATAATTACCCTGTGACTGTAAGCAGGCAACAGGCAGTATTGACTTGTAGACAGTTCCATCCCAAGCATGGTGTCTCATCCGTGTTTGACCGTGACAATTCGCGGTTAATAACTTCATGATTTAGTACAAGGGTAACCTGCATGATTATATTAAATGAAGATATTCCCTTGTTGTACACGGTTTAACCTTTCTAACTCCCAAAAGTGACCGAGACAGAAATTCTAGACTATATCAATACAATTCCAAGCAGATTAGTGATTAGAATAGAGAAAAAGATCACTGAGATCATTAGTTGATCCAATACCAAATTCTCCCGAGTAACATGAAAATTGTATGGAAACAGTAAGAATTACTAATGAGATCTTTGGAATGAAAGGGTTAAGCTACTAGCTACAGTGTACAGACACACACCTGATGAAACCATTTTTGCTTCCTGTCCACTGGGGAACATCTTCTTGCCAGTTTCAAATTCTAATGTAGAATCTGAAGTGTGCACATCCTTATGTTTTCCTAAACCAGTGTTTCCCATTCTCCGAGTATGTTTTGTTTACTCCTCGTTAGTTCTTTAACATTTATGAGCTACGAGAGAAATGATAACATATTAATTACTTTTACTAGTTTGAGCTGTTTCTGTTCCCAAGATCACAAATAAAGGACATCCGATAAGTGATTTTGAATGCTGTAATAAATTAACGAGTGAGAGTAAGTTGAAAGACTGCTCGAGTCCCTTATTAACTAGTGCGAAACACTGGATCAAGTAAATTCTTTGTGGGGCGATCCAATGTTAAACAATATCTAGCGCTGTTAAATCAAATCAAAGCGTTTACGCCTTCTCAACTGAAGGAAAAGTTTGATTTGGGTTGATCAATTTCTTCCCGACTTTCTGCAACTGAATGACGTGTATTTCGCAGGCATACGCCGAATATCTGGGTAAATGTTGTCTCAGATGCTCCTTTTTACGTACCTAACTCAAGCCTCCAAGCGCAATGATACCAGCCAGCCGATCAAAAGCGTGTTGGTTTGAAATTATACTCTATTTACAGCCTCAAATTGCTTGCAACGTTCGATTGAAGGTGTATTTTTCAAATCAAGCCTGTAAGCATGATGGGATAGAAGAGTGTCCAGTCTTTCAAATGGTGTCTCGTCCGTGTTTGACCGTGACAATTCGGAGTTAGTTACTTTGTTATTTTAAAAGGCTGTTGTGATGTGATGTCCACATGATGTTTTTCCACTAAGGCGTGATCAACATTTCACTTTTGTATCATAACGTTATGACGCGATTCTACTGCTGACGAGTTTTCCCCCAAAATATTTTCAAGATTTTCAAAATCGCAATATTTCGTGGACAGCGATCGAACAATAATATCAAATTGGTTTCCTATGAAATCACCACAAAATCACCCTCAGATGTGTTAGATATTTTTTTCAAGAAGTACTCACTTCCATGACATTCCGCACGTAATCCAGGCCTTCTTCCACCAGTTCTCTTTGTTTAAAGATGCTTATTTTGCGAAATATTTGTTAATTCACTCTTGAGTCCGTACTTTACCCTTTGCCTACCGTCTTAAACAGGTACATAAAACTCTCATGGACAGCCAGAAGTGTATCGTGATCCTCCAGACACTTGACGACCCTGCGACTATCCGGTGATCCGACGACTAACTATCAAGAATACTCGCTGGTGATTGGTCAGTTTTCATAAAAGCAGTACATGGTTTTTACACTTTGGACTAGCTCGGCGTTTTTTTTTTTTTTTTACCTTAGATGTTTATGGGACATTCCCATGAGTCTCGAGTCCAAGATAGCTCTATGGCACGTTCGTTGTGGTAGAATTTTACTTTCAATCTGAATAACATAATTATCTCAGGGCCCTTAATCAAACGCAAGATAAAATGATCAATTGTTTGTTTGTTCATTTATTTATTTATTTATTTATTTATCACTTCCTCTACTTCGAAGAACCGCGATGTTCGCGCTTCACGTGTAAGTGCGTGTTGTGATCACATGTAGAGCTTTTGTGGAGCGCACACTAAGCTTCAATGCAGAAGCAAATATTGCTGAATTTCGCTATCGATGCATTGTTATCTCAAGAAATATAACAAAACGGCTGAGGAATTCGATATCCGATATACAATTCTCTTGCTGATGTGTTTCATCGTTCAAGGTGAGGTTTTTGGGGGTTATTCGTTATTTGGGTTATTTACTCATTTGTGCCTCACGTGGCTCGCAATAAAATTTATTAAAAACCGAAAGTCTTGATCAAAACTATGATGCTTTTGTTTACCCGAATTGTAGTATTAAATGCTAGATTAGTACAGACTACACGATGGTAAGCATGTACATCAAGCATACAAAAGATTTATCATAAATATTGCCATTTTTGGGGTCAGAAAAATGCCCTGTCCGATCAGTGTCGGCCAGGTTTGGCTGGGTTCCAGACATACCCCTCCGCTGGTTTTTAAAAATTTTTGTCTGACACAAAAACTCTTGCAACGATAGGGTTGCACGTTACTATTGGCTATACGTTACTTGGCTTAGTTAGACTATAGAGAAAAACATATTCCTCCCGTCTCATAGGAAATTCCTAAATCAGCTTCTGCTGTTTCCCGGCGGCAGATTGTTGTCTTAGCTGCCATGTTGTATCCATAAGCGATCTCCTAGCAAGTGATTGATAAGTTAAACCGGCGACACACTTGGCGATCGGCGAAAAATGCCAGGTGTGCCAAGTGTGTGCTATTATATCTGGCATGCCAGATGATGGTGATTTTCGCCGGCGATCAAATTCGTTGCGATCGGTCTATAAAGTCGCCAATTGCGTCAGCGACTTTACAAGTTGACTGGATAGTTGATACCAAGAAAATTAACTCATTACGTACATTAATAAGATGTGCCTATATGTTAACGTAAGACCCAACCAGCTTAGAAAAATATCTTGGTATACCAGAATAGATTTTTCTTAATGCTTTCCTTCTGGACAGGCTTAATTACAGTTCAGATGTATAGTCTGGAAAATTGTCCCACAGTAAGACTGATAGTGTACAAATCTAATCATGCAACAATAGAGGCACCCTTGGGTCATATAGGCGTTTACAGAAAATCTACACTCACTGAGGTATCACATCCGATGGCATCAATAGGCCTTGGAAAAAAAAAACTTATGACCGAGCTATGCAACCCATTTGCGCTACATACTTGCGGCAGACTTATTTTAAAGAACACGTTTTTTCCATTTTGAAAGAGATATTCTTTTCGTCAGAAAAAGCTTTAGAAGTGTCAAGTACGGTATAGACCGTAAAAACTTAATAATTAACCGAGAGATTGTTCTGTTTTTCAGTTTGTCATCACTGTTAATCTAAAGATAGCCAAAATCACCTTTTACATAATTGGACGCCCTGGTGAGCTTTAAATTTCTAATTAACCACTTTTGCCTGGCCGGTAAAGGGAGTCTCTGTCAGCGGAAAACCACGACCGCTGTTTATCATTCAACCGTTCTTTCACTCCTACTCGCCTCCCCTGCCTGAGATAAATTGGTTTTATCAATTGAGTTTATAATGTAGATACTCTTTACGGTGATCAATTTACATGATTAACTTAATCAATAAAACCCTATTTTCTCGTAATACCCCGAACGACGAAGCACCTCAGTTTCTTTGAAAATTTACCCCCTTTATCCAATGACCGAGAGCCTGAAACATAATTGAACAGGTTGCATTTGGCTTAAGGGTTCACACACATTTTAGAATTATACTGATCAATAAACCTCATTTCTATTTCTCTTCTTTTTTTTTTCCTTTTAATGGCTATAGCTGTTCCATGCGACGAGCCACCCTTATGTCACTGGTGGAATGTCTTCTAAGGAGTGCAGATTTTAATTCTCTTTTCTACACCTGCAGTTGTTTTTCTCTTTATGGTGGTATTTCTATTAATATCTATATTACTGATGGCCATGCATTTCTATCTGTAAGTCGATACTACACGCTGGAAAGTGTTAAGAATGAAAAAGTGGAACTGCATCCACCGTATTTTTCTTTACTTCTTTCTAAGCGCCATTGTTCAAGGTACGTTTTCTTATGAAGAATAATTATTGCACTGAAATGACCAGGTCTTTTTGGGTAAAAGTATCAGGACCTTCGTGTCTTTAGGAAAGAAGTAATTCTCTAAGATCCCACAAATACGTGCTCACAAGCTTTTGAAAAGCTGGTGAAGAAAATGGAGTAATGATTTCGTTGGTCCACATACTGGTCCGGTGTCAACCTTTGAGAGAGGGGCAACAAATTTAAAAATGGTTTAGATCGAGTAATGTCGCTTCGATTTTACATTTTTAAACATGAGATTTCCGTTTTTTAAACATAGAGATAGAAGATTTTTAAGTACAACACTGCATGTGGAATAAAACTGGCATCTTTACTCCCACAGGACGCGACTCCAAAACGAAGAACTTTTACACTTCACGCGCAAAAGGGAATGACAACTGGTCGTGTGACCAAACAGAACCATGTCAAACCATTTGGAGGGCAGTATCCCTAGCTTCAGATGGGGATGTAGTTTACTTGGATGGCACCGGCACTGGAAAAAATCCATACAGCTGTCACTCAACACAAAATCTGGGAGTTTACATCAATAAAAGGCTTGCCTTGATAGGAACTGGACCCATGCTTCCTCAGATACGATGCTCTGAGGGAACAAGTTTGACATTCAATGGTTCCGGAAACGCCTCGCAAATGAATGTTACATTATCAGGACTACTCGTAAGTGACAGTTTGGTATACTTCCATGACTTGTCCGTTAACATTTATGGATGCCAATTCATCGGTAGCAAACACGGTGTGAAGTTTGTGATGAGCAACAGAGAGGTGTCTGATATTGTTATTACCGATTCAAACTTTTTCGGAAACAAGGAATGTATCTCAGTTTTTGTCACGGGTTCAAGGATTGGATCTCCAATTATAAAACAAAACTTGATTCTAAAGAATTCTTCTATGTCCGGGAACACCATTGCCGACGGAGGAAATTTCATTTCCCTCACAGAGTCTCCTGATAACAACAAGACTGTAAATTGTTTTATTGCCATGGAAACTGTAACGTTTTCCGGCAACACATACAACTCAAGAGGTCTCGTTTACCTCCAGTTCAAAAATGGCGACCAGTACTTTAGAAACCATAAGGTAATATCCATGAACAACAGGCCATCATCAAATAAGGAAGTATTGTTGGATCTTCAGAGGAACAGTGAGTTTATGTTCGAGTGCCAAAATGTTACTATTTCAATCAACTCAAGCAACTTTATATCTCAGAATGCTAGAACATTAAACGTGTCGGCAACCAACATTTTATTGCAAATCTCTAATTCACGTTTCAGCGTTCACCGATTGGCAAGATATGGAGGAGTTGTATCCTTAAGGGGATCTAGCGAATGTGAGTTGAAAATATCAAACTCGTCGTTTATCAACAATACCGTCATTTTAGATAATGGCGGAGCTATCGAAGCTGAATGCACAAAGGTCAGGTGTACTTTAACCAGTAGTACCTTCACAGATAACACGGCTGTGAATGGAAATGGTGGAGCAGTAAAACTCCGTGTTTTCTCCTCTAGTTTCAATTATTTAAGAAAAGAGAATGACAATAAAGACAATGATTTGGTGGTTTTAGTTAGAAATGTGACATTCAACAATTGCAGTGCGCTCTCTGGTGGAGCGTTAAGCATTGTCTACGAAAGAAGACATCATGGTGTTGTAAGTATTAGCAACTGTCTCTTCATATCTAATGGGGCTCTTGCTGGGAAAGAACCCTTAAGTGGTTATGGTGGAGCCATCCAGGTCAGGCCAGCTACTGATGATAAATTAAAAGAAAAACACAGCAATATCAATGTCATAATCGGGGGATCAATATTTACCAACAACACCGCAGTTATAGCAGGTGGTGCCATTTATGTAAAAGTGACCGATCAAAGTAACGTTATTATTGAGAAATCAGAAATAGAATGGAGTAGTGGTTTGTTTGGCGGATGTACCATTGTTGGACCCACCTCATCCTTAAAAATACTTGACTGTACCTTTGCAAATAACTTAGCCAATGCTTTAGCGATATTTCACAATGTGAAAAACGTTGAAATCATAGATTCGTCTTTTGTTGGTAATTATCCTTTAAGTGGATCATTTGGAGGGGCCCTTGTTATTTCGGATAGCAAGAAATGCGAACAGGAACAATTACAACAGGGATCATATGCGATCATCCAGAACACGACATTTAAAAGTAATATAGCAGTGAATAGTGGTGGTGCTGTGTATTTGGCCAACTGCAAGACAAACATTCGGAATTGTCAGTTTTTTAACAATTTCGCCCCACGCTACGGTGCTCATGTATATGCGCTAAAAACAAACAGTTTGGCGATACTAGACAGCATCTATATGCAAACCAGAAACAAACCGCGATTAATCAATGGAAAAAATTACTCTGACCATTCTTCACTTATTGACATAGTTGATATAGAAACACTGGTTGTGTATAACACAACAGTGGAGGTCAAGGCATATAGTCGTGATAAAGCTTTGATGATGGTGACAAGCATTGTTGGTAAGGTGGATCTTGGTAACGAAAACTTTGCAGCAGAGTTTACTTGTCCTGTTGGAAGTGAAATCAAAATTAATTGTATGCCTGGTATCTTAAACACTCCAGACCGACCTTGTAAATCTCATCGTAATGGCGGTGGAGTCTCTAGTATTCAATTAAGATGCTCTGTTTGTGAGGGAAATTCCTACAGCCTGGAACGTGGTCGAGCCAAAGGAACCCAGTTGGTGTCACCAGTCCAGTGTCACCCTTGCCCATTTGGTGCAGATTGCACTAAGAATATAGTTGCCAAACGTGACTTTTGGGGTTTCAAAGAACAGCAAAACTCCTCGCTGCTAAGGTTCACCATGTGTCCTATGGGATATTGCAGCCAACCAAAGGAAGCAGACTTTCCTGAGTTTAACAGCTGCCAAGGAAACCGGTCTGGCAAATTGTGTGGAGAGTGTAAAGACAATTATGTGGAGACACTTTACTCTACACAGTGTATACCATCACATTGGTGTAATGATTACTGGTTCTGGCCCGTGGCGTTGATTTATGTTTTTGTTATGGCATTGTACCTAACATTTAGACCTCCTGTGGTACCTTGGATCAAGCGTCAGATCTTGTGGTTCAAGCAGAATGAGCCAGTGGGCCAGGATGTCAACTTTGAGAAAGGTTATATGAAGATTCTTTTCTACTTCTATCAAGCAGCAAATCTTGTTCTTATCTCTGGCTCGTCCCAGTTGGCTATCAAAGATAAAATCGTTCAACCACTACTTGGCGCATTCAACTTCAGATCCGGTTTTCTTCAGGAATTCAATTGTCCCTTTACTGGTCTCACGGTGGTAACCGAGCAGTTATTCTTAGCATCTCACGTTGTTTGCACGTTGCTAGTAATATGTGCTTTGTACGGTGTACTTTGTGGTTTTCAGAGGTTTCGAGGCAAAGGGAATCCATCTCCAGGTCCATATGTAGGCGGCATCTTACAAACTACTTTGCTGGGATATACAGTCATAGCCACCAAAAGCTTCAGTTTGTTGCGTTGTGTTGATATTGGTGGGGAAAGACGTTTGTTTTTTGATAGTAACATTGTTTGTTTTCAATGGTGGCAATACCTCTTGATGGGATTTGCTTGTGGTCACATTGTACCGTTTTTGTTCGTCCTCCTTTGGGGCTCTTGTAAACTATATTATAAGACTATCTCTGCGAATAATTTCCTCGTGGCTTGTTTTTTTCCATTGCCACTTATAATCTACTGGTCTTATGGTTTCTTGCACGGTAAATTGAGAGGGGCAGTCACAGAAAACGCACCACCGAGCACGGATTTGAAAAGGTATTTGGAAATAGTTCTTTATGATTCCTTCAAAAGGCTTGAAAAAGGAAGTGAACTATCCCTTTGTTGGGAAAGTGTCATGATTGGCCGTCGACTGATCCTTGCTGCACTGAAGTCATTCGTCAGCGACCCATTGCCTCGAGTCGTCATTATGAATTTATTATGTGTTTTGTTTCTTATTCACCACACTTTGACTCTGCCATTTCGTGATGATATTGCCAATATAATTGAGACCATTTCACTGGCATCTATTGTTGTTTTGGGATCTGCGAACGTGTTCTTTGCTTCGTTCGTGTCGTTAGGTGTTTCAATCGACAACAAGTCCTTGAGACACTGGTGGAATGTCTTGCAAATTATAGAGCTCGTAATTCTCAGCCTAGTACCTATATGTTTTTTGTTAGTACTGGTCGTGGCTTTTGTCTCTCTGTGGTTCCGGATAATCGTTGTGGGTTTTCGTGCTTTGTTCAAAGTCTTGAACTCCTTTAGTGCACGTTCCAAGAGCCAGACGGAAGAGAGAAGATCGCTGATAGGTCTATAATATGGGAGCTAGATGATGTCCAAACTATTGTGCAGGCTGCTCGCGAGGAAAAGAACCCATCCGTATTGTTCAATTCCATTAGGAAAGCAGCAAAGAAGCAAATAAACAAGCCATACTTAATGTCCGCCTGGAAAACCTTTACGTTTAATTTAGAGCAAGTCTTCTTCCTTTCGATTTTAGGCTGGGCGTATGAACACTTAAAGAGGGAAAACTTTTTATCAGAGCTGACATTTTTTTGCATTTGAAATACGACAACACTCTTCTTGCAAATACACAAAGGCTCCACTAGTATTATGGTTACTGGTCAAGTCGCCCGGAGGTCATGTCGTCGGGAACCTGAGTCATTTCGCCCGAGATTTTAGTCATGTCAACCGAAGAAAAAGTCAAGTCGCCTGAAAAAGCAAATACTCAAAAGCTCAGACTTACAGACTGTAAATAGGCAATAAAGTTGAGAAATTTTTATCACTAAGGCACTCTTTGTTTCCCACAAAACCATTATCAGAATAGAAATGTGTACCCCTGTCAACTCTAAAAGGCTTTGTTCGTTTCTAGCAACAAAATAAAGCGCTGCTCGTTTGGTATTTACTCGTTTCGTACACAGGACGTTTCGTAACCTTGAGAAACTTTACCTTGGTTTCTTAAAACCATGAAGACTTTGACTACATAGAAAACGATCATATGGCCAGAATTGAAATATGTTTGAGTGACGATTCTAAAAACGTTGCCACGGTTCGTTTTTAATAACAAACAAACGCTTCGGGTGACATGACCCAGGTTCCGTGCAATATGGTTAATTTCGATGTTACCACGGCAACTGTTATCTTTAACTACATATTTATAGGGTGTTTTGAAATGGTACTGGCATATGTAAGTGCTTTTGTGGAATCAAAATTTACGCGGTGTAATGACGATTAAGATTTAAAGATAGAACGTTAGTAGTGTATTGTTGAGTGTGAATTAAAGAATTAAATATGTTATCATAGACCACAGGCAGCCCATGCGTAATGTGTGTGATTTGAGGCTTTAAAGGCCATTAACGGGAATAAATTTTAAGCGTAGTCGTGTGCCGTAAAAAAAAAATTTAAAAAGTAGAAAAAATAAAAAGGATAATAAAAGTAAAAACATGCTCAGTCTCCTTACAGTGTCCCCTCCAGAAACCTGCTCAGTCTCCTTACCCTTATTAACGCTACCTTGTCGACTTTCTTTGTGCCGCGTGTCGTGCTGTTATATGTGATATATGCTAACTTTCATCCTCACTCCACATCAATAGCCTGTATAGAGTCGCTTCCTACCCCACCAATTTCCCTTCTCTACCCGCAAAAGTCATGAGTCCCAGGCTCTAGAATGCTTTTTGTCCCAACTGCAATGCTAACGCAGGCTCAAGGCACAATATCCCTGACTTTCGTTTCAAAACCTATGGAGTTGAGCCGAGAGTGAAACACTGGGTCTTCATATTGCTTTATTCTGTCTGGAAAGTGTAAAGGATGACCCCGATTATTCGCCGTATTTTTCTTTACTTCTTACTATGTATCATTACCAAAGGTACGTTTTAGCAAGTCAGGTAATTACATTTTATGCATAGAAATGGTGGCGTTGCTAAGTAAGACGTAAAGACCCATGAATACAAAGCACGGAATTGCTGTCTTATTTTCAGACAGGAATATGGACGCCACAAAATTTAAACTCGAGAGCGCCAAACGAAAGTTTTTGAACGAGTAACGATTTCCACCCTGTCAATTTTAAACCCCATGAAGTCATCCATGCCTGTGCCTGTATCACGGTCAAAAGGCCCTTGTTATAACCTAAGGGTGCTTTCATCAAGATTTGTCCGTCTAGCTCTCGACCTGACTAGCGGACAAGGATAAGAACTTGCAAAAATCTCGACGGAAATCGATTTCGTATCAGAGCTTTCACCATTCGTAACCAGTGCGTTTACATTAAAATGAAATCTTTACATGCAACACTTCACTGCATCTAATGGCTTTGCTAAGTCAGGATAGTCTCAGTAGGTGTCACTAAAAAGCAGACCCAGGTTTAATTTCTTCTCTCAATGGCTTTTACTTGGGCATCCCTCTTTGATATGGGTGTTACTAAACAGAGTAACACAGTAATTAACGGAGTAACAAGAAAACGAGTAACGGCACTATGCTCTTCAAGTGTAAGTAAGTAATTCCGTGACATTTTGGAAGCTCTTGAAGCAATCTCAATCAAAGACCGAAAACACCTTGGGATTCACCTTTAAAATTTTCACCTTTAAAATTTTCACCTTAAAATTTCTTTTTAGAGTTAACACGAAGCATCGTTGAAGATAGGCACGAATCCATCAATTTTGTGAATCGTTCAATTAATTGTTCAAGATTTGATGGGAGGAAGTAAAAGTCGGCATTAGCTGATTGACGTATTTCAGTTTTATCGTGCATGTATGTCAACGCTAGTGGCTTGGATCATCGGTCGTGTGCTCTCCAAAATTACCAGAATTTACTGCCACATATCTTTAATCTCACTCAATAAAAGAAAAAGGAAACTTGCAGTCACAGATGATACATTCCCAGTTATATCATCTGGAGCGAGAGATGATATAACTAAGATGATATAACTTTCGTTTTCTATAGAAACTGGAAGAACACCGCAAACAAAGTCGTCGCGACTGTGAGACGCAAGTTTTGAATATTGCCCCCTCAAATATTGCCCCCTCAAACACCACCTCTTTTGAAATGATTAGTCAAGTTTCCAAGAATATACCGACTCGAATTTGGGTTTGTCCCGTTATAAAAACACAACTATAGTAATCACAAATCCTTTAAGACGACTTTTGTTCAGATTGTCAGAGCGATGTGAAGCCTGATAACCAGAACCTGCAAAGAAACGCCGGAAGTGCCTTTTTGAAAGATAGACCACGGCCAAATTTTAAACTTTGGCTTTTCCACAGGAAGTCCGTGTGTTTGGACATGACTCACGGACTTTGCTGCGCTCGGTCCGTACCTCATTACCTCGAGCCAAATATTTTCCCGTCCAGCTCTCTCACTAGGTAAATAAGTACCCAATATTTTTCTCTTGGTACATATTTGTGATACATTTCCTGTCGGGATCTGTGACTAGATCGCTGTAGCTCTCAAGGGCAGTAGAATCAAAAGCTCAACCGGCGGCCTCAAGTTTGATATGAGACGGATGCCGTTCTTTGTTTTGTTCGTGAAAGATGTATTGACGAGGCGCTTTCATCTCGCGAACAGATCTCGCAAGAGTTGGCCTGATTTAACGTATTGTTCGAAACTTTCCACTTTGAAGGATACAATTTCCAATTAGGTACGAACTAAATTCAAAATGCTGCAAGGAAACTCTAAAGTGACGGGCGGCGAATTTGTTTACCGCAAAACAATTGACTATAGGTCCAGGATGGCTCTTGAGAAAGACTATTTTACGAGATTTTCAGTAATCAAGGAACTTCGAGTTTACAGGAAATAGGTCGCGGCACACGTTGCTTGAAGGTTAGAAATGGTCCTTTATTGGGGGATACAGGATTTAGTCAAGGGGGGTTCGCAAAATTGTCCGCTAAAGGCGAACCCCTCTTGAGGGTCCTGAGGGTCCGTGAGCATGCTTCCCGCGGGATTTTGAAAATTAGGTCTTCGAATGCATGATTTCCAGCGTTTTGAGAGACGCATTAGGGGGTTCGGCCAAACAAGCCCAGCTTGTTAGAGTACATGACCTACGAGTACACCTCTTTTTATTTCCTTCGGATGAAAAGCTCGGGTATTTTAAAAGCATCGAATCAGACTGTGACAAAAGATTTCTTGTCGTTTTTTTTCGGCTGCGGTAAACTTTGATGTCCCGGATGAGCGTTTTTTGTGCAAGACAACGCACTTTTAAGTCTCCCACTTGTAACGCAATGAAAAACAGTAGTTATTTATTACTAATAGGCATTATGAATAACCACTTCTTTACAAACGCGTCATTATGAAAAATTACAACCGAACTCACGTATTTAGTTCGTTTTATAAACGACATTCCAAAAAATTAACCGTCAACCGTCAACCTTCAAATGACCCAAACTTTAACCGTCAACCATCAAAAGGGCTTATTTTAAACCGTCAACCGTCAATGTGAACCCCCCTCCCATTGAGATCCTCTTTAATGGCGTAATCTATAGCTGTTAGAAAACCAGCAATCAAGCTGTAAGCGTAAGTGGTTTGAAGTGAATCAAAAAGTGAGCGGTAGCCGTCGAGATTCTCAATGCAAATTACTAAATGACCGCCACTCAGAAATTTTTCTAAAAAAATTAATCAATTTAAAGAACCCATACAATCCAACTGTTATATGTCGATTAGGAACTGCTAAACGATCCCAAAGTGATTTATAAATCTCATGTTTAAGTTTATCCACTGTCAAGATACCACAAGTGCACAAGCTCGATGAAAGGTTCTGTAGTATTCCAAAATATTTTACATTAAAAAAGGCATTTAAATCCGGCAACGAATTGAAACTTTCCTACCGTGTTATGTTCAAGGAAATAATATTTTGCCTTTTTTACATAAAAATTGATACTTTTGTTCGATAACGTAAAAGGCTTGTATAACGCAACTGAAATCCTTATTCTCATAGAGCGTGCCTCTAAAGCAACCAACTTCTACATTTCCCGCGCATCTGGGAATGACAGTTGGTCATGCGTTCAAACAAAACCGTGTAAAACCATCTGGCAGGCAGTATCCTTGGCTTCAGATGGGGACATTATTTACCTGGATGGCACCAAAACTGACCAAGACCCTTTTAACTGTCAGTCAGCACAGAATCCGGGATTAAATATCAATACAAGTCTCGCCTTGATTGGAACTGGTCCCATGCCTCCTCAGATAAGATGTTCTGAAAAGGCACGTTTGTCTTTCGATGGTTCCAGAAATGTCCAGGGCACGAATGTTACACTATCAGGGCTAATTGTAAAGGAAAGCTTGGTTTTCTTTCAAGATACATCTGTCAACATCTTTGGCTGCATTTTTCTCCATAGTAAACAAGGCGTGCAGTTTGTTATAAGAAGAAAAGTGTTGTCTGATTTTTTAATTACAAGTTCAGTGTTTGACAGAAACAAAGAATGTATATCCGTTTTCATCAACACCGCGGGAATTGATTCATCGATTATCCAACTGAACTTCACCGTCAAAAATTCTTCAATGTCTGGTAACACCATTGCAGATGGCGGGAATGTCCTAACCTTCACAGAATCACTTGATAATAACCAGACTGTGAACTGTTTTATCACTATGAAAGGTGTAACTTTGTTTGAAAACAGGTTCAGTACAAGAGGTCTCTTTTTTCTCCATTTAAAGAATGGCAACCTGAGCTTTGAATTGCATGAGGTGAGATCTTTTAATAACCGGCCACCATCACCGAATTTTAGTGCACTGAAAGACCATCTAGGAGACAGTGAGTTCTTCATTAACTCCGTCAATGTTGCTATTGTCGTCGATGCAAGCAACTTCACCAGTAAACACGCAAGGGCATTCTGTTCAACTTCTTCTAACATTTCGCTGCAGGTCCATAACTCATCCTTCACTGGTCATCACGTCAAAGGAAATGGAGGTGTCGTATATCTCAAGGGATCCCATGAATGTAAACTGAACATATCAAATTCATCATTTCTTAACACAACCGTTGACAATTACGACCGGACCGGCGGTGGTGGAGCAATCTTTACTGAATGTGTAAACGTCAGGTGTACTTTGAAAGACAGCACTTTTGTAGGTAACAAGGCGGTGCACAATGGAGGGGCAGCAATAAATCTTTGTTTTGTCTCCTCTGGCCCATACAATGATACAAGAAGGAAAACACTTAATCTGTCTCTTCTTATTGAGAAAGTACTGTTTAGAGGATGTAGGGGGTTTGCATCTGGATCCTTACAGATCTTGTACGGAGGAAGAAATCTTAACGTTTTTAATGGTGTCATTAATATACGTAATAGTCGTTTTAGTCATAATTCTGCAAAAACTGGGGGAGCTATTAGTGTCTTTCCATGGACGTATGTGTGGCCTCGAATGTGTAGCAACTTTACTCTTGCCATAGAGCGTTCAAACTT